TTGTTCTTAATGTACATCTTTTTTAGTTAACCGCACGAAAAGCTATACTCGCACCTGAACCCTTCTATATATATATATATATATATATATATATATATATATATATATATATATATATTAAAATATATTTGGTTTAATATAGTATTTAATTAAGTAAATTATTTTGGTTATGTATTAAGGTAAGTACATTTAGGTAAATTCATTTAATACTTAATACTTAACTAACAAAATGTTTAATGATGTAATGGTATTTTTTACATGAAAAATTAAAGTAAAATAATTTTAACATGATGTACAACTTCGCAAGCACAAAAAATGTGGACATAATTTAGCAATATAACTTGCATTGAATCTTATAAGTTATTTATTATTTATATTTATAATATAAATCTTAGGAATAAGGGTCAAATAGGCCATCCAACTACACACAAAAATGCAATTAGGCCATCGAACTCAAAAAACTACAATTAGGTCCCTGGACTACGCAAATTAATGCAATTTCACCAAACCCTTCGTCTCCGGCCAGCCAGGAGACGAAGATCCTTTGTCTCCGGTCATCCAGGAGACGAAGGGCTCCCTTCGTCTCCGGCCAGCCATGGAGACGAAGGGTTCTCCATGGCTGGCCGGAGACGAAGGGTCCCCTTCGTCTCCGGCATATTGTTTTTTTTTTTTTTTTTTAAATTTTAATTTTAAAATAATTTATTATTTAAAAGGGAAAATGACACTTTTTACCCCTGAGTTATATACTTATAGCACTTTTTCTCCCTCAATTATTTAGGTAAGCACATTAGCCCCCTCAATTATTCTAAAAGTGGTGCTTTTTTCCGCTAATATATTAAATTGACATTTATACCCTTAAAGTAAACATTTTATTTATTTTATTACTCCAACAAATTATTGCGTATACGTAGGGATGACCATGGTTCGGTTTGAATTGAACCAGATACTAAAGCAATCGAATTAATAGTTTACGGTTATAATTCAGATCTAGAACCCAATATTTAAATGTCAATTTATTAAAATAATGTATCAAAAAAATTGAATCTTGAACCGTGAACCGGCGGTTCTTGATCTGATTCGCGATTTTGAACCTTCTTTATTTTAAAATTTTATTTTTTATTTTAAAATAGTCTAAATTCAACAATAAATGTATTTTATTTTTTCAGTTCGGAACATGAACCGTCCGTTCCGGTTCACGATTTTAATAAACTCTAAATATCGAATTTCGATTCTAAATTGTAATTGGAATATTTCGGTTTGGTTGCTATAGTGTTTGTTTAGTTTGAACCAAATTATGGTCATAATTTGTTGGAGAAAAAAAATAAATTAAATATTTAGTTTAAGGGTAAATATGTCCATTTAACATTTCAGGGGGGAAAACAGTCACTTCAATAATTTAGGGGGAGAAAATGCTATAGGTATATAACTCAGGGGGAAAAAGTGTCATTTTCCCTATTTAAAATTATTAAAATAAAAGTTAAAAAATTATTTTTTAATTTGGTAACCGACACGTCAACGTATCAATAGGTAAACAAGTCATTTTTGATGAAATTGCATGAATTTGTGTAGTTCAGGGACCTAATTGTAGTTTTTTTTTTGAGTTGGGTGGCCTAATTGCATGTTGGTGTGCAGTTGAATGACCTATTTGAACCTTATTCCTAAATCTTATAAATAGATAGAAAAATTCCAACAACTAATAATTGATTTATTATTCTTTCATTATTTAGTTCAAATTCATAGATTTTTCTCAAATTCTACCTAATTTTCTACCCAATTAGTGATTTCAAAAAATCTATTTGATTCACTAATTGGCCAAATCAGACCTCCATTACTGCCAACCTGGTTTTACAATGCTTCTTTTCATTTCCTCGTTAAAAAAATCAAATAGAATAATTAGGTCATATTTTGGACACAAAAACCATTAGACATCCAGATTTCAATCTTTGGTTGCTTGTTTTTGTGTTTGTGTTTGTATTTGATATGATATGCCCCTTCCATTATAGAGGACCCAACAACTCATAATTTATACAAATTATAAAGTGAAAATCTAATTCGTAATCTTAATGATAATTTTTTTAAAAAAATGGTGTATAATATTCGGTACATATTCTTACCATTGTGATACTAATTCGAATTCAGTCCAAATACACTTAAACTCGTAGAGTTTGACTCTTACTCAAAGAAAAAAAACTGACAAAAAACTATTTAACATAACTCACTAGTTACAAAACAATCAGCATTTTTGTGTTGGAAAATATTAGCAATTAACTTTAACATAACGTTTTCTTTATTTACTTAAAAAAAAAAAAAGATTTTGTTTGAATGTTAACTTTTTTTCTTTCTTTTGGTAACTCAATAACTAACCTGTCTTTCAAATGTCTTTGATGAGTCCTTTGAGGAGCATATATCTTTTTAAAAAAATTGTTTTCATTTGTGTAAACACAAGTAATGCATGAAAAGTATTTGAACCTAAAATGATGTGGACAAATTCTCCTTATGAGGTTAGTATTATAAAATTTATTGTTCTTGTTTGGTAAATGTTTGTTAGCTTATAGCTGTTAGCCGTTAGCTGATTGAGTTAATTAGAAGATATAATTAATTGATAACATTAGCTGATTGTAGAAATGTGTTTGGTAAATTAGTTGTTAGTTGATAGTTATTTGATATAATTTCTTTTTTTAGAAAGCTAATTGAAAAAATTACTTTGAGTAGCTTTTCAAAATTTAGCATTTTGGAGTACAAAAAGCTAATTAACCAAACACTTATATTGATTTTTAAACCAAGTCAAATAACTAATAGTGGTCAAATAAGTCAAAATTGGCCTGTAGGCTAACTATTTTACTAAACACGGCCAATATGTAATACTCCTTCTGTTATATTTTATTTGTCTTATTTACTATTAAAGGGTCAAACTAACTCTTTATTCTTCACTTATTTTCTTTAATATGGTTTTATAATTTTTAAATATTTAATAGTGTAATGTAATTTTTAAATATATTAATTTTATATAGTACTCCGTAATACTTTGTATTAAACTAAATATTATTAAAAATATTATAAATAACTTGTGTTAAGTCTGATTAATTGAATCAGAAACATAAATTGAGAGAAAGAGAGTATAAAATATTGAAATGAAGTGAGGGTATTGGTAATTCCCATTACTATCAAGAGTGAGACTTTGGATTCCAGCTCAATACAATACACAAACATCATTCTTAATCAACCAACTGGACTTAAGAGACCATTTTGTCCCCACTAACAGCTGTTTACAAGTAGTAGAATCTAATCCTCCACAAGTCACGCCATTTTTAGGTTTTTTTCTTTTCTTTTCTTTTCTTTTTCTTATTTCTTTGTGTTTTTTTATTTTTTATTTTTTTATATTTAGACGACCCCACTCCCACATTTTCTTTTCTTGATTACGACACTTGTACAATTTTTTATTTTTTAAATTTCCCTAAACTAACACTTACTTGGCATTGAAATGACTCTTCTAACCCCTCCAACGCCTCAAAATTACGTTGTCCCAGTAATGTGACAAAAAGTATTCTCACATTCCCTCTTCTAATAGCTATATTCATTAATTATTTAATTATATTTAAATGAGGTGTTTGGTAAATAGTAGTTAGTTGATTGTATTAGTGAGTTTGACTAGCTGATAGCATTAGTTGATTGTAGAAAAATATTTGATAAATTAGTTGTTAGCTGATTACATCTAAACTGTCTTTCTCAAAAAACTTATCGAAAAAGTAACTTTGTTGATTGAGCAGCTTTTTAAATTTTAGCATTTTGGAGCAATACGTTGTTACGAAAAGTTAATTAATCGAACAATCATATTGATTGTTTAACCAAGACAAATAACTAATAGTAGTCAAATAAGTCAAAATTGACTGATAAGTTAACTATATTACCAAACATGGTCAAAATATGTTATACTCACTTTTTCAAGTTTAAAAAAAAAAAATTAAAAATCTCTATACTAGGGAGTGAATATTGAAAAATAATTTTAATACCAATAGATAACATTATTTTGGATTATATTGTTATTTTTTGTGGAGTTTCTTCTCTCTTTCTTTTCCATGTCAAAATTGGAATACAAAAAGTATATTCATTGCTTTATAGACCAGATGTTATTCTAAATATTTTATAATATTTTGTGAGGTCATCGTATATATGACTTGTTATTGCATATGGAATCAAAAGCAAAAGAGAATAGGTTTTTTTAAAAAAAAATTTATTTTTAATCCACAAACATAATTATATTTAAAAAAAAAAAAAAAAAAAAAAAAAAAAGGAATCGACACTTTTCATCTTTATAATATAGTGATAGTGACTTTAGTTTTTCAATAGTTGGCGGCTCTACTTTTGGTTCTTAAATTAACATCAAAGTAATACTTTTAGTCTTTTATATATATAATAATATACAAAAAGAATTAAAAAATTTTACTCCTTTCAAAAAAAAAAAAATCAAACAAACAAATTTTACTAATATGTGATCTCCTTGAATAAAAACGTCATTCTAATACTCCTTATCTCTCATTTATATGTCCTACTTACTAGTTATTGGTCAAATCAATTATTTCTTCTTTGTCTATTTTCTTTAGTATTTTTTACTTATTTTTAAATTTGATTTTTTTTTTTGTGTGTTTGATAGTATTTTTAGTGTAGTTTCTAAATATATAAATTTTATATACAAATACTAAACTTAATAATAGGAAAAATTAGATTAAAAATAACTTCAGTCAATTAACCGAACCAAACACATAAAATTAGACGGAAGGAGTAACAATTAACACTGTTATTTTAATTTCATTACAATTTAATTTACTCATCGGATGGACTAAAATTACCCCTTCAGAATTAACTTAAAGAAACAAAAGTAGATGCGCCAATAATTGAAGGATTACATTTTCTATATTTTCATAATTAAAAGATCAAAAGTGTCACTTTTTAAAAAAAATAAAATAAAAATAAAAAGTATATGCAAATGAAAGGGAAAGAAAAACAAGGAATCCCATGATCTATAGCCAATAAATTAGTGATAAAAATTTGAAGGGCAAAGAAATAATACAATTCTACAATATGTTACAATGTAAAAATTTCACAACTTCTTACAACCATCTGGTCTGTAATTTTTTCTCCAATTTATGTTGTCAGAAGTTAACCCATAAAATGAAAATATTAAAAAAAAATTAAGAATAAAATCATGGTTTCCTTGATTAATGACCTAAAAATATAGAAAAAAAAGAATAGAAGAGAAAAATAATGATCTTGAGTGAACTTCCAAGTTCCAAGTCTGTGATCTGTACATACAGAAGCCTCTGTCATTTTGGGGTGGCCTCAAAAATGAATGGTTTGAAACTTTGAATATTATCTGATCTCATCTCATCATATCTCTACTTTCATTTGAGCTCCTGCATTTCCACCCCAATCCAATCCATCATTCAAAAATCTCTACCACAAAACAAAACATTATTAATTCCAACAAAACAAAACAACTACTAACCATGAACATTCTCAGCCTGGTTTTGGCCAATGCACATTTGGACAACATTGTTGAGGTCATTCTCAAAGAACGTCGAAACCTGCAGAATATTCGTCGTTTGGGCATTAGTACACAAATGAGAGACATGACAGTAGTTTTAAGGTTTTTGGCAGGTGGCTATGTTTGATTACCTGAGAGGGATTTTCAACAAAATTTCCCATAGGAGGAGGCAATGCCGCGATGCCTAGGTTTCTGTTCAATGAGGTTATCGGGGACATGAAATTTTGCCCATAGGATGCATCTGTTGGGAACATGTTGTGATGCACTGATCCGCGGGATTGGAGAACGATCTGGATATATATAGTTACAGAAAGGCAAGAACATTAATTCTTAGGAATCTTAGCTACATTTGAAACAAACATCTTAGTGAAACAGTACTAGGAACCGAAAACACAGACTTACATCCTTGGATAGAAGAGCTCCCATGTTGGAGTCCATTGCTGGATTCACTGTGGCCAACTTCATCGAAAGAAACTGCAATTATACCAAAAACCAGCACAGATTCAGTAAATCAGATATATATAGTCGCTTATGGGTGGCGCTGAGATTCGAACCCATGACCTTTTACATTGGTCAAATTGAAACATGTGCTCATCTCAAATAAAAGGCTAAGCTGATAGTTGGATTGCACGTTAATGGCTATATGCTCAACAAGGTGTATGTGTGATTCTTTACCTCAACCTGTCGTTGCAATGATTGCACGTAGTTTATGATCTCATCAAGCATTACAGCTTTTCCAGTCACCTATGAAAAAAAATTTAAAATTTGGACCCGTTTTGTTGTATATTTGAGGCATTGAAAGTTTCTTGGCAAAGCGAAAAAGGGACTATTCTGAAATGCACCTTGTTGCAGCCAGGCACAAGATCTTGTAAAAGTTTCATTCTTTCACTGATTTTTTCTCTTCTGACCTGTAAGAATTGCATGTTAGGAAACCCCATTGGAATCAAGAAACGATATATTAAGACGAATTGCGATTAGTTTCGTACTCTTTCAGCTAGACTGTGAGCATCAGTGGCTTGACCCCTTCTTGCTCTGACATGAATGTAGTCCTTTGGTGCCTCTGGTGGCTTTGGATTGTCTTTACTGTTCTGTTTCTTGTTTGCATCCTCTTCGGGTTTGTTCCGTTTGGCGCTCGATTCTTTGTTCTCTGATACAACCTGCAGAAAGCAGAATTATAACTTTTTTTCAAATACAGGAAGAAACAGCTGCAAATCCAAGAATTCAGAAGAAAAAAACATTACATTAGTTGTCTCTTTGCCTTTTTCCTTGGGAGCTGCTTTCCTCTTTCTTGAATTGGCGGTTTCCCCTCCCGGGATCTGCTCAGAAACCGAAGAATTCTCCCGGGAATCGCCCAATTCTGACTTCTCAGCCATCTGAGATCCAGAGGCCTTGATAGACTGATTACTGGGAACTCTGGAAAGCTTGCCAGTTTCCAAATTGTGAACCATTCTGTGCTGCAATTCGGGGTCTTTCAATCCGGGGCTCATCACCCCGGCCCCGTTAGCAAAACACGAAAACTTTGCAGCTCTCTCTGCAAACCCAGGGTCAGTGGAGAACTGTGGGAATGGCAAGGTGGCCCTGATCTGATGATCCACCATTGAAATATTGCTGAGCTTTGGGGGTGAGCTCAATGGGGTGTTGTAACAGGAAGTGTTATCAGCATAGGAAGGGGAAATTTCACCCAGTCTCCCAATCAATTCTCTCAGCACAAAATTCCCATTTTCACCATTATTAGTAGGAGAGGACACCATTGAGCTTAGAGAAGACCCCAACAAGTCCCTCTGATCCATTGGGTTCTCCCAATTAGGATTGAAGAAACAGTTGTGCAGTTCATATGGCATTGTGCTCTCATCGCTCAAGAACATGCTGTCTTTCTCCATGGCAGAGAATTGGAGATGAACCCCTAGAATGATCAAGAAAAACCAGAATTAAGGTGGGAAAAACAACCTAAAATTGTTTGTTTTTTGGAGGAAAGGTTGAGACTTGAGAGAAAAGTCTACAATCAGAAGCCCAGAAAAGGCTGCTATTGTGTCTTTGGTCTTTGAATTTGCTCAGCTCAGAAAGGAAAGTTAAAGAGAAAGAGAGAGAGAGAGAGGGGTTAGGATCAGAGAGAAAGTGAGAGAGGAAAATGAAGGAAAGTGGAGAGGAAGATGGGGGGAAAGAAAGAATGAAAGATAAAGAAAGGGAAATGGTTGTTTGACCTTTAGTTTCATCTTCTTTTTTTTTTTTTCTTTTTCTATTTTTGAAAATTTTCCTAATACCACCCACCAATCACCATCCATGCTTCCATGGTGTGCCATTAGCCATAGCCCCCATAGGGGTCTTGTCAAAAAAAAAATTGTTCACTTTATTTAACTAACCAATATCATCTGAGCGTTACGAATTTACGATACTCGAATATATTTATAATTATAATATATTATGATTAAATAAATAATATTTTGATTTTCAAACATATCTAATGTTTTAATTTTCTTATTTGTCAAATTAATTAAAATTTAACTCTTATTATGGTTTTAATTAGTAAAAATTTGTTGAAAGTTTTAAAACTTATATTTTAAAGTGATACGAAACTTAAGATTATATTATACATACAAATATGCCATACTATTTTGTGATATGACATAGGCGTTTAATTTAATTTTAAATAAAATTTCAAATTTTAGATTTGCAATAATATATAAATATAGTGACATATAAATAGTAACTTTGTATTTAAAATTAAGTGTTAAATAAATACTTTTTAAATCTAATTATAAATCAATCAATAATTATTGAGTACTAAAATTTAACCAATGCTAGTTATGGAGTAAGAAAAGAATAAAGAATGACCTTTAAATTGTCCATGTAAAAAGATAAAATGGGTTTTCTATTAATTACTCGTCCATCCCATTTTATGTGTCGGGTTCAGTTAACGAGCATTGACTGAAGTTATTTATAATTTAACTTTTCATAATATTAAGTTTAGAATTAATATGTAAATTTTATATATTTAGAAACTACATTAAAAGTAATACTAAACACAAAAAATCAAATTTTAAAATTATAAGAAAATTTTAATAAAAGTAAGCAAAGAAGAAAGAGTTGGTTTGACCAATGAATAGTAAGTAGGACATATAAAATGGGACAGAGAGAGTAATAAAAGGCAATTTATATCCTACACCACGGCGCGCGTTGCACTATGCGCCCAGATGCAAAACGACGTCGTTTTAATTTATTTTTTTTTGAAATTTCCCGCCCTAGTGAATGGCAGTAGTTTTTTCTTTAAAAAAAAAAACCCGCTGTTCAAGAATGTACATAATGTTATACTAGAATACACATAATTGTATACATGAATGTACATAATTATATAACAAAATATACATACTCTTTTTAAAAGATAATACACATAATCTAACATAATACATAATAAACATAAACTTTTAACATAATACACATCAACTATTAACATAATACACACAAATTTTCTGATTCGGATGTACATAATTGTATAAAAAGAATGTACGTAATTGTATAAAAAATGTACATAACTGTATGAACCAATACACATAAATGTATGAACAAATACACATAACTGTGTTAACAAATACACATATTCCCAGCAACTTCCTACCGCGCCTCTCAAAACGACGTCGTTTTGGGAGGCGCGCGGCGCACAGTGGTATGTGCGCCGTGGTGTAGGGTATAACGATGGGTAATAAAATGGTTGTTAACTACTTCTTACATTTTAAATTAACATTAATATTAATTTTGATTTATCTAAGGCTAAAGTGTCATCCCGCACCCTGAACCATTTGTGATTATTCATCCCGCACTATGAACTGTAAAAAGTGATATTTCGAGCCATCAACCAATTTTTTTTTTCACCTAGCACTTTTTATAGGTTGTCCGGTAATAACGATGACATGGCACCGGTTTCAACTGCTGATGTGGCCTTTTTATCTAGTCAACGAGTTGTTAGTGTCATCCCGCACCCTGAACCATTTGTGATTATTCATCCCGCACCATGAACTGTAAAAAGTGATATTTCGAGTCATCAACTAATTATTTTTTTTCACCTAACACTTTTTATAGGTTGTCCGGTAATAACGATGACAAAGATGGAAGGTAGGCATTGGACGAATTTATATTTCAATTTTTCTATTTCTTTTGTACATTTTCCCAATTTCTCCATATTTTTCTTATTTTTGTTTCTTGATTTTTCAGTATTTTTTATTTTTCAAAGATGTTTGTAAACTGCCAATGTAATGTTTGTAAAACTGCAAGTGGTAAATTGCCAATGGTAACATGCCAATGTATTCCATTAAACATAGACATTGATAACGCAGTCAAACTGCTAGTGGTAAACTGCCAATGCAGTCAAAATTGAAATATAAATTCGTCCAATGCCTACCTTCCATCTTTGTCATCGTTATTACCGGACAACCTATAAAAAGTGCTAGGTGAAAAAAAAATAATTAGTTGATGGCTCGAAATATCACTTTTTACAGTTCATGGTGCGGGATGAATAATCACAAATGGTTCAGGGTGCGGGATGACACTAACAACTCGTTGACTAGATAAAAAGGCCACATCAGCAGTTGAAACCGGTGCCATGTCATCGTTATTACCGGACAACCTATAAAAAATGCTAGGTGAAAAAAAAAATTTGGTTGATGGCTCGAAATATCACTTTTTACAGTTCATGGTGCGGGATGAATAATCACAAATGATTCAGGGTGCGGGATGACACTTTAGCCTTTATATAATAAAAAAGTGAAGCATAAGTTTTACTATTAATTAAACAAAAATTGCTTCAAAAACTCTATCCAATAAGAAAGTTACACATAAGCATTTTTATCAACCAATCATAATAAATTTTAAACCCCCACTTTCACTATAAATACAATAGATTCTCCCTTTAAAATGGTTAATGTAAAAAAAAAAATGTTGATTTTATTGAACTAATTTTCACTTAATTTTATTTTTCACTTTGCATACCATGAAGATTCATTCTCAATGGTAACTTTTACTTTTAGGCACAAACTATTGTGACATTGTCACATTTAGTCTTGTTTTTATAATTTTGTCTTATATATATATATATATATATATATATATATATATATATATATATATATTACTTTTATTTACTTGTCACAATTAGTCAAAATGTTAATTTTTTTTTTTTACTCTTCAATAAAATGGACTAACATGCAATTTTTTCATTCAAGCCTCTTGTTCTACACTCCTACATATGTACTTTTTCCCTCTCTCTTGCAAATTCTTTTAATCAAAATTACATATTAGTCATATAAATTAAATGGTGGAATAATTAAATTTTAAAGTAAGCCTGAATACAAAATTAAAAGAGCAAGAGTAAATATATAAATGTTAGAATAATCTATGACCAAAAGTAAAATATGATCTTTATAAGACAGTATAATGAAGATTTTGTGTGTAAAGTCAATTGGTGTATCATAGAACTCAATTCTCATAATTATATGAATTTACATTGCTAGTAATGCATCCTAATTATGAATGCGATGAACAAATAGTATAATGATGATAAACATCATTTACGTGTGAACGAACATTATTTAAATGATAATTATAATGAAAATTATTTGTTGTGAGATGCATAAAGCATGACACATTGGCCCATTATAATTTGTCTTAAGGGGGGACAGAAGATATTTCTAAATTATATGATTTGGCATTTTACTTTTTAAAAATATATATATATTATATTTACTTAATTGCACTTTTGATTCCTAAGATAAAAAAACTATTATTAAATTTATCCTTCAATTACATGAATAAGTTAGTATCATGACTATCATCATATCCTTAATTATATACCAATGTGACAATTTTAAATATTTCATATGATAGATTTAGTTAAACGATCACATATATGTTTGACATACGCACTCTAGTCCGCACGGACTTAGATCAATGGTTCAGCATCCCAGTATTTGGGAGAAGAGATCAAAGTTCGAATGTCGGCGGCGGCACGACAATTATGCCGTCATTGAGTCACCGTGATTTACATCTTGGCAAATGTTCTATCGGGTCAAAGTGTGGAGGGCCTTGAAGTTGGGGATTCAATTTTTTGAGAGAAGACATACTTACTCTAGATTCTTTGCCACTCATTTTTTTTTAGCACTGGTGACTAGACCAAAATATGTCTAAAATTGAATATAGAATTAAAGATTATTGTGACAGAAATAATCGAAAATAGTCACTTAAATACATAATGTACCCTTATAATTAGATGATTTTTTTTTTGAACAAAAAAGCAAAACGACTTCATTAATAATTCAGAAAACCAGAAATACACGTAGGTGGGATAACAGCCCACTCTCCTGAGACAGCCGAAGAACCAGTTGCCCGTGCTAATTCATGAGCCACTCGGTTCGCTGATCTCCTAACATGACGGACACAGACGTCCCCAATGTCATTAGCAATAGATAAACATTGCTTTTCGATTAAGCCTACATACGAGTAATCAAACATGCGTGAATTAAAAGCGGTACAAAAATTCAGACAATCAGTTTCACTAATGACATTGTTATACCTTTCAGCCAAGACAAAGCCTCCTTCACAGCGATCGCCTCTGCCGTGAACGGATCATGGGTGCCCTCAATATGGCCCCCCTTTGCTGCTATGAACCGGCCGTTATGATCTCGGATGACAGCGCCGTAGCCCGCCCCACCGGAGAAGATCGCGGCATCGACATTGCATTTCAGGTTGCCACTCGGAGGCGGACTCCAGCTTACAGTAACAGCGCTAGTTCCATCCCATTCAGACTGGGCGAAACAGTCCAGCCAAGAGGTTCGCAGCTTATTCACTTGGTCATGCATAGCCATTACTGTCGGTATCGCGTTGCGCCAAACTATCGCGTTCCTGGTTGTCCACATCACCTCCACGATGGCTGCCATCGTTGTGATTTTTCCCATGTCTGCTCCATTTAAAATGGAATTCATAGCCAATGGTAAAGAACGTCCCTGGAGGAAATCAACATGTTCCCAAAGGTCCAAAACGTACCAGCACTCGCCGAAGATGTGTTCCACAGTCTCGGCCGGGAAACCACAAAAAGGGCAGCCTCCACCTATCCAAATGTGTTTTGTTTTCAGATTTTCACGAACTGGGAGCACACCCCGAACACACCGCCATAATAAATTCTTCACCTTCGGTGGAATTGGTAATGACCATAGTTTTTTCCATGCATTAAAACCATCTACCGCAACGTTTAGCCACTGAGTGTCCATGATCAAGCGATAGCCGTGCCGTACCGTGTACCTGCCTCTCAAATCTCCATTCCAGCGCCATGAGTCTTTAAATTGGCAACTTACAGGTTTTGCAAGGATCCGTTGAATGTCCTCCTCTAAAAAAATATCTTTCACAATATCGATGTCCCAGTTTCCTTCGGCATTCAACAGACCACTAACAGTGGCGTTTTGTAACTCTCCGATGCAAGGTGTGTACAATCGGGGATGAGAGTTATCTGATAGCCAGCCCCAGTCCCAAATCCTTGTGTCCGCCCCGTCCCCGATACGCCGAGCTACTCCCAACTTTAGGATTTCTTGCCCAGCCATTATGCTATGCCATAAGAAACTTGGATTGTTTCCTACGCGCACTTCCAAAAAATCGGTACCTGGAAAATACTTTGCTTTTAAAAGTCGGCTAACCAAAGACTCAAGATGAATTAAAAGCCGCCAACCTTGCTTGGCAAGCAAAGCTATATTGAACTCATGCAATTTTTTAAAACCCAAGCCTCCCATTCCTTTTGGAGCACAAAGGCGTGACCAGCTCAACCAATGAATTCCTCGTTGTCCTGTCCCCCCACTTCCCCACCAGTACCAGTTGAGACACTTCTCAATAGAATCACATGTCCGCCTTGGTAATAAGAAGACGGACATAGTGAAGATAGGTAGGGATTGAGCTATGCTTTTAATAAGGACCTCTTTACCTGCCCATGAAAGGAGTTTGTGTTGCCACATCCCAATGCGCCCACGTAATTTATCCTCAATGTATTTGAAAGTGGATATTTTGTTTCGCCCTAACACGGAAGGCAGGCCCAAGTATGTGCCCAAATCCTCCGCGACCGGGACACCAATACAGCCCGAGATGTGTTCGCGCATGTCCGGGGAGGTATTAATACTGAAAACTGCATTTGATTTATCGAAATTGATCAATTGTCCCGAAGCTGCACTGTACAGGTCCAAACATTCTTTGATTTTTAGAGCTTCACTCTGAAGTGCCCTGAAAAAGAGTAAACTATCATCAGCGAAAAAAAAGTGGGTTACTGCCGGTGCCCCCCGGGCTACCCGTATCCCGTGAATGTCACCCCGGGCTTCCGCCTGTTGTAACAAAATGGATAGGCCTTCGGCACAAAGAATAAAAAGGTACGGGGATAACGGGTCCCCCTGCCGAATACCCCTCGTAGGACACACCACGCCAACGGCCTCCCCGTTAACTTGAATTGTATAGTTAACGGTCGAGACACAAAGCATAAGAAGTCGGACCCACTCGCGCCCGTAGCCTAGCGCACCCAACATTCCCTCCAAAAAACCCCACTCCATCCTGTCATAAGCCTTAGCCATGTCAAGTTTTAAAGCTGTCCACCCCATATTCCCACACGTCTTCCTCCGTAAATAATGTCCAATTTCCCCTGCTATGATGATATTATCTGTTAAGAGCCTTTCTGGGACAAAGGCACTTTGGGGTTGTGAAACAACCACCTCTAAAGTCCCTTTGAGCCTATTAGCCAGCATCTTGGCCAGCACTTTGTACACAACGTTACAAAGGGCTATCGGACGCAAATCAGACACTTTCTCAGGGATCTTTTTCTTGGGAAGTAATACAATGTTGGATGTATTGAATCCCGGTGGAAAAGCCCTGTTAGACACACAGCTTAGTATAAACACCGACAGATCATGTCCCAGGACCGGCCAAAAATGTTGGTAAAAAGCCGGGGACATGCCATCAGGGCCCGGTGCCTTGTCCGGGGCCATAGAAAATAGAGTCGTTTTCACCTCTACCATCGTAAACGGTTTTGTGAGTGAGCTATTCATCTCATCCGTGACCTGTTTCTGGACACGATGGAATAGGTCCGGACTACTATTGCTAGAACAAAAAATACAATCAAAGTACCTCATAATCTCATTGTGCATGGCCGACCCTTCTCTCCAATAACCCTCCCGGTCCTTAATACGTTGTAGGAAATTCCTTTTACGGCGAATAGTGGCAGCCTTGTGAAAATACTTAGTGTTAGCATCTTCGTGCTTTAGCCATAGCTGTTTGGACCGTTGTCTCCAAAAGAGCTCATCCTGGTGTACAAGAACTTCCAATTCTCCCCGTATTGCCAAATACTCAGACACGGCATTCACATCCCGGTTTCTTTTAAATCGTCCAGCTTGCGCCGTAGCACTCTTATTCGATTGCCGAAAAAGCGGAAGTGTTCTCTACCCCACTTCCATAGCCTTTGTCCACAAAGATTAATTCTATCTTGGAAAGCCATACCCGAGGACTGACGCCATGCTTCATCGACCACCTTTGCACAACCTCCTCAAGTAACCAAGCAGATTCAAACTTGAAGCTGCGCATGGTTGTACGCACTGGACCAGATTCCACATCAATAAACAGCGCATTATGGTCCGAAGATAGTGTATGCAAATTTCGGACCACCACATCTTCGTACAAGTCAGCCCACTCCATAGTTGCCACCGCCCTGTCCAGCCTTTCCTCAACCCATTCTGCAGTGCCATGTCCACGCTCCCATGCGAACCTTCCTCCCACCATCCCTAGATCATTGAGGCGACAATCCCCTAAAGCATCGTTGAAACCCTCAATCAAAGATTCAGGATGCGAATGAATACCTCTTTTCTCCGATAGGCCTGCAATGTCATTGAAGTCACCCGCAACAAGCCATGGAAGATCAGATTGATCTTTGAGACGCCGCAAGAGGTCCCAAGTGATCTGCCGATGTGTTCTGTCTGGATGTCCATAGAAACCTGTTAATCTCCATCTCGGCCTTCCCGGAATATCAATAATCACATCTATGTGATTTACAGAGTAGCTTAATAAAGTAACCGTATCACTGTCACGCCAGAACAGAGCTAAGCCGCCGCCTAGCCCCACTCGATCCACGCAAAAAGCCCTTTCAAAACCCAATTTTATACGTACCTCTTCTACCTTTACACTATTTGCTTTCGTTTCTATCAAGAAAACGAAAACGGGCCGCCGCTTGGACACCATGCCCGAGAGTTCACGAACCGTCCGGGTGCCGCCCAAACCCCGGCAGTTCCAGCTTAAAAGACTCATTGATCTTGGCAGGCCTGACTCCCCAGGCCCGCCATTTGCAGATTTGTGGTAGTTTCCACCATTGTTACATCCCCTACGCTTGAATCGCCCGACACTCCAGAATCCTCTCTGCGCCTTTTAAGATCCCCCTGTAGACCGCTATTTTCTTCCATTGACAGCGTTATGTGAGGAGGAGGACCAGGATTAGGCACGCTAGACGGTATAGTTAGTTTAATCTGGGATGACAGCAGCCATTTGGCTCCCACTGGATGCACTTGACGCCTTGGTCCCGCTTTCATCCAAGACCCGAAAGGGAATTCCTCCGGCGCAGTTCCCTCAACGTAAACCTGTTTGCAGAATTTGTCGATGTGGCCAAGCACACCGCAGCAAAAACAGAAAGCAGTAAGCCTTTCATACCGGAAGGACACCCATTGCGAAGAACCATCCTTCTTCAGCAGTTTCATACGCCTCTTCAGCGGGGCATCAATCTTCATCCGTACTCTGAGTCGTATGAAGCTACGCCAAGAGCCCCCGAAATTACCTGGATCAATGGCAACAAACTTTCCGACATAATTCCCGATCCGCGTTAGAAAATCCGTGGTTGCGAAAATAGATGGCAATCCATGGACTTGGACCTAGAAAGAAACTGCATCCAGCGTGACATCCTCTGGCCTAACATCTTTGGGTACCTCTTCACAGATCAACAAGCAATTTTCAAAAGTCCAGGGACCATCATCAAGGACCCTCTGAAGATCCTTCGGGTGGGGGAATTGAAAAAGAAAAAGCTCATCTGACAATGGCACCACCTGCATTCCCATCACAAGCCTCCAGACCGAGGCCATAGTCTGTTACATATATTCAAACTTGATCGGCCGGTCCGTGAGGAATCGACCTACGATATTGTGGAGAATCGGATCATCAGGACAGTTTTGGATATCCGGTGCTTCCAGGCCTGTGGAATCTTCCTCGGCCAATTGCAAAGCCGCACAACGTTCCTCGATTTGCCGAACGTCCATGCTGATTCTCGGGTAGCCAGAATATGTAAACAATAGAATGACACACAGAACAATTGGTAGATCCATCGAAGAAAAGATCGCTATAAAAAGCCCTAGATATCTAGGGAAACACTCTCCCAGTCACACTAAGAGAGGGGGCCACGATGAAAATCACGATCGCTGAGATCACGATCGAGGGATCACGATCGGAGAACGGCGTCAGAGAATCGGCGATAGCTTGCGGAGTTTGCGGAGAACGTGAGAGAAGAAGTGTATCTCTTCCTACTACCTTATAATTAGATGATTAATTTAACTATGTTAGCCTATTTGAGGACCAAAAAATGTAATTAACTATTTATTGGCCCTGTTTGGTAAAAAATTGGCCTATAGGCCAATTTTGACTTATTTGATCACTATTAATTGTTTGATTTAGTTAAAATATCAATGTAAATGTTTGGTTAATTAGCTTTTTGTAACTCCAAAAGGCTAAAATTTAAAAAGCTACTCCAAGCAACTTTTTCAATTAGCTTTTTGAGAAAAGAAATTATACCAAACAGCTATTAGCTAACAGCTAATTTACCAAACACTTTTCTACAATCAGCTAATGTTATCAACTATTTATACTCTCTAATTAACACAATCAGCTAACAGCAAACAGCTATCAGCTAACAGCCATTTTACCAAACAGGGCCTTATCTACTTCTCCTATCTGATGTTATGATGAGGTATAATTACACTTAAATTAATCATTTCTTTACTGTATGAATTTTTCTAAATTACAAAACACGTGTTAATTCCAGTTTTATTTTAAATTTATTTTGTTAATTTTTGAAGTGTCTTCATTAAGCATTAACTGTCTCGTCTTTAGTACACAAAATGCATAAATGACGAGACAGTTGCATAATCCCCACCTGCCGCCGCCGAGGTTTAAATCTTAGTCAATTCTTTTAAATATTGTCTACTGAACCATTGAACTAAAGTGCGGGCAAAAAAAAAAAAAAAAAAAAAAAAAACAACTTTCTGTTCGAACAATTAGGGAGTTATTAAAGAATTTAAATTTGAGTTTAAATCTAAGGTAGGGCAACTTTTAATTGTACGCGTTAATACTTTTATGGCTGAATTTAGGTGTCATCTACCCAAATAATTAATTGATGGCATATCATTACTTAGATTAAAAGGCTTTATTAAATGAATTTATTAATTAAAAATTAAAAGAGCTTATTATTGATGAAAACAATATTCCAACTCCCAAGCCTTAATATTTTATGATAATTACAATTTTTTTTTTCAGAATTGGCTATTTAAAAAGAAGTTTTAAATGTTGGTTTAATTTTAATAAATGTTTTAAGTTCAATTAAAAAAATATGTATACGTAAGTTGATGCACTTGAATTGACTTACAATTTTATAAAAGGGAATGATCTGATCCAACTTATAAAAATATTTATTTGCTTCCTCAATGCACATTACTTTCATATATTTATAATGATTACTTACATGAAACCTTATTTTCTAAATTAAGGTATTTTAAATTTATTTCTCAAATTAAAACACTTTTTTCGCATCGTTAGTGCAATTTTTTTTTTTTTTTTGAGTGAAATTGCCCGGGAAAGATGTATTACCACACTCTAATGGAATTGTCACCAAAGATATTGGCTACAAGGAATGTATCTAAGCTGGCAAGCGGCGGATCCAAGATGGTATTCCCCCATTCCCAATTGTGGGCGGCGAATCCATCGTTAGTGCAATATTACATGCACTTTCACTCAATCTTTTTAGAGTTCTATTACATGTACCCCAAATTTTACTCCCTCACTTTTACTTCCTGACGTGACAGACAATGATAGACTATTTTCATCATGGGGTCCCAAGAAAAATGTCTACATCAATAACTTGAAAGTGATAGTAGAACTTGAGAGTCCACAACATATATAATAATTTCCATCTTTTTACTTCGTGCTGAGATGTCTTGATCCCATAAAAGACATGGGCCACGATTTTTCATTCATTGTTCTTCATCCAATAAAATATATATACATAGTGAAGTTGTACCCCATGGGACTATGAGAGTACATATATCATTTTTCACTTTGTTATATGTTGTTATTAAATTATCATTATCACGTCATGCATACAGGGGCAAATCCATAAGAGGGGCAATGCGAGCAATTGCCCCCCCCCCCCCCCCCAACCCCAACCCCCCACCCCCACCCCTATTATATGTGTGTGTATAGTATATATGGGTTAGGAGAAATAAATAATACATTATTTATATATATAAATTATCAAAGGTTGAGATAGTTTAGTTGGTAACTAGATTTTTATTATGAAAAGTCAAGGATCAAATCTTACTAACTACACCCCTTAATTTTAATTTTTTGCACCACTCAAAAAAAATTCTTATTTCCATCCCTGCATGCATATCGTTAAATCATCATTGTCATGTCATACACTTCATGACTTCATCATATTACATGCTGAGTTTTATATATATATATATAGGGTCCGGTTCAGGTGAGAACCACTGCTTGGTTGTGAACCTGTGAACTCTTATGCACTATTGAGATGTGAGATTGGACAACCAAGATATGAAGAGTGGTGCGGTGATGCATCTGGTGCAATTGTGACTACCTAATAAACCATGGTTAAGCTGCCCCAATAATATGAGCAGCGAATGAAAATTGAATGGCAATTAAATCCTCTACCACCTGCCTGTCAATTTGTGGTATCCTAATCGATACCAACCAATAATCTTTCTACCCAATCTGATCTTTAAGGTAGACACGCAGTTGTCTGTCTTTTGTTTGGCTTTATTACCTAGTAAGTGTAGGGTTATGCTTCCCACTTTATAAAAGTTGTCTCTAAAATTGTAAAGAAACTTTTTAGATGTGTATTATGGCTTGTGAATATATTAGGCTTTTTTTTTTTTTTTTTTTTTTTTTTTTTTTTTTTTTTTTTTTTTTTTGAGGGGGTGTGGTGGGTAGGGGTGGGGGGAGTATAATTGAAGTGATGAAAAACAGAATTTAATGCATTTTTATATAATTATATTGTATTCTAGCTGTATGTCATTGGTTTGGAATGATACATTAGTGTTAAATAAATTACCCCATTTCTTCAAATATTCTGATATGATATTAATTGGAATGTATACATAACTTTTTTATTAGGCATACATAATTAGATTAAGGAAAATTGTGATTTTAGTCATTCAATTTAATTACATAAACATATATAGTTTATTCATTCTCTTAATTATTTGAGTCTCTACATTTAGTTATTTAATTATAATTTTAGTGACAAATATAGTCTTCCATAACAATATTTGTATAATATTGATGGACTAAATAATTGAATTATTTTTCACAATAATGACAAATTATCAAATAGAAATGCAATAATAATGTTTCTATGTTATTATACTATATACAAATTTATGAAATTAATGTTTTTTTTGGTCAAATAATTGAATTATTATTCGATAAGAATAATTTATCAGATAAAAATGCAATAATAAATAAATTAATTATTAATTTATATATAATAACTCATCATATAATTGCGACAATTTATTTTAATCTCCTATTTTTGGTGCACAATTTCTTAAGTGTAGAGGTTGGGGGTGGTTAGCTTAGCTTATACTGGCATACACCTCTATTAGGCTGGCATTGTTGCAAACCACCATTAATAATTAATGCTCAGTTAAAAAGCCATACACAACTGTTGTCTGCCAAGTACTATATCATTTTTTTTTAAAAAATTTTAAATACTATTATTTTTCTAATTGCGTATTATTGGAGTAATACTTTGTAGGCCCCACTGGGTAGGCTCACCAATAAAATTAAAATGCTTTAGGAGAATGATGAATGAGATTAATTAAAAAAAAAAAAATTAAACCTTTTGATCCGTGTGATTTTATTTAATCAATTTATTATAAAATTTATTAATTTATAATTATACATAAAAATAATTTTCTTGTAAAACGACTTATTTTTTAAAAAAAATATTTCATTTTCTGATATTTCGCTTAAAATTATAAAATAATTCTTTTGACTAAAAGTCAAGAAACTGCATTTTTCTATTTTTTTAATGAACTTAAACATATACGGAGTAACAAAGTTATTTCTTATAAAATGTTAATTATAATAATAGTGATAATCATTATTACTTTTTAAAAGTTTAACTTTTGTGTCCTTGTAATTATGGTTTTATTTATATTAAAATAAAGTTATAACTTAAAATTTATATATATTTTTGAATGATATTGACTCTATTACAATGTAGTATCTGCTTATAGTTATTTTCTCAACCTATTGAAGCACAAAAATAAAGAGCCACTGAGGTTTGAACTCACAACCTCCCATATGGGAATCCAACCTTAATGTCATCTGAGCACAAGGTGCTTGACAACTTAAAATTTATATGATTAGCTAGTTATGAATATGTGCATTGTGCGAATAAAAATTGCCAATGAATTAAAATGATCAAAATAAATGTAGGATCACAAACTTAAAGTTGAAAGATACAAATTCTAATGATAATACTATTGTCTCACATGAATTAAGCACTTTGTGCACAGATGGCACCCGGGTTGGACTTCCATATGGGAGATTGTAAGTTCGAGTCTAAGTGGAGCTCTAGGAATAAAGATATACGACTATAGGAGTCGGGACTAAAATATACTACTCTATAATAGATGCTCAACAGTTTAAAAATCTTACCACATACTTGAAGATTCTTCAAACGATGCAAGCCAATTTATGTAGTGTACTAGTGTCTCGTTAAAAATTTCACTAGAAAAATCATGTGGAAAAAACTAGTTAAAAAAAAAAGGTACATGATGCATGTGTATTCATGTGAAATGAAATTATGTAATGCAGATATGTAACAGACACACCAAACACAATATAAATCAATAAATGAAGCACCAAAATAATTACACAGTTGAATTTGATAATGCAATTGGAGAACACCTCCTAATCTGCGGGGCCACGCCCAAAAACTTTTTCACTCAAGATCAACCCGCGTCTTTACAATTACAAGGTTCAATGAATTACAAAACTAGGTCTACCACCCATTTAAACATTAACCTTATAAAGCAACTCTATGAAAAAGTTTACATGTACAATTTGAACTAATTCTACCAATTAAACAAATTGTAATCAACCTGAATTTCAACACAGCTAATACAAATATCAAGTAGTGGAGCGGCTTCTCCAGATAGTATTCTAGTCTTTTCCTATTTTGAAGTTTCTTCATAGCACCTTCCAAATAATATTCTATTTTAATCTCCTGGAAACTTTATCTATCTTCATTACATAACTCCCTATTTATAGTGTTTTGGACACCATAAAATTAGAGAATTTAACCACCCATTTCTTCAGCATTACGCGCATAACCTCATAAAAATGTGATGAGAAATTTTCTCATCCACTCACTTTGTTGAGATATTTCATGAACTTATTCAACATGATCAGACACTCCACAAAAGTAGCTCCCGGATCTTATTAACACTAAGGCTGAACTTACCCCTGCAAAGGGGTAAGTTTGCAAGATGATGTGGCTAAAGCCACAAAATTTTTTTTTTCTTTCTTATGAAATGGGTTTGCAAATTTGCAAACCTCGCAGCTGCGGCAGCTTTTGTATTTTTTTTTCATTCAAATACAAGGCTCAAATACAAATAAGATTATTAAAATACAAAATACATTATAAATTACAATACAAGTTTTATTATGAACTACGGGATAATACTCATTTACGCTCTCTCATATTTTGAAATCGTTGTAGAACTGTTTCATTTGAAACTTGATCAAAAATATATTTTTCAACATACGACACTAAGCAATCATTTAATAAATCATCGCCCATTCGGTTGCGTAAAGATGTCTTGATTAACTTCATAGCAGAAAATGCTTTTTCCACACTAGCAGTTACAACCAGTGGGATCAAAGACAACTTTAGAAGCAAATACACCATCGTATAGTCCAAATGTCTTCCCGTTTTCACCATTTTTTTTAGCTAATTCATCAATACCATCCAATTTAGAGAAAGCAGGATCAGAAGTTACATCAACAAAATAAGTCTGTAGTTGGTTATCTAGTAATTGAAGTTCAATATCAGAAAAATCATTTGGATAAAACTGTGCAAATCGAACTAATTTATCCTTATCAAACCTAGCAAATGAATTCTTTGGATCAAAACATGCCACACATAAGAGCAACTCTGTATTCTTCTCATTGAAACGATTATTTAGCTCATGGAGCTGTAGATCTAAAACCACATAAAACCTTTCAACACGGTACTTATGAAGATGAGTCCTTTTTTCAGCTTTACGGCGAGGTCTTCCTGGAACTACATAAACTTCATCCAAATTAGGTATCAGAATTGAATGCTTGTTGCAAAAGAGTGAAACTTCTTATAAAAGAGCTTCCCACCCATCATCTCTCATCATTTGCAATCTTATTTTTGAGACATCAACTAGTCTCATGGCGTTCACAATGTTTTGATCTTTTTTTTGTAGTGCATGTGACAAATCATTGGTAATTCCTAAAACATCGCTCATTAAGTGCAACAAGAACATAAAATCAAAACATAAGATATTCTTCAATACTCTAAATGCTTCTGTCCTTTGTTTTGGATCCTTCCTTTATTTCATCAAGAACATCAATCACTGGAGAAAATAATGTGATAATGCTCAAAAGTGCATCGTAATGAGATCCCCAACGTGTATCACCAGGACGTTTTAAAACTATTTCTTGATTCAAACCAATTCCCGTTTCAATTGTATCATTAGAAATTGAATCAATCAACATCTTTAATTGTTTGTCTCGTAAGCTATCCATGCGCTTACATGAAGCACAAACAATATTGCACAATTGCGAGACAGTGAAAAAAAAAAATCTCCAACTTCTTCATTTTCCTTTGCAACAACCACAAGTGCTAGTTGTAATTGATGAGCGAAACAATGAACATAAAAAGCAATTGGATTCTCATTCATGATCAAAGTGTTACGACCATTGAACTCACCTCGCATATTACTTGCTCCAACATAGCCCTGGTCTCTTATTCTTGAAATGCTTAATTTATGACTTGTTAGAAGATCTTCAATGACTACTTTAAGAGACATAGAAGTAGTGTCACAAACATGAGTAATGCCAAGAAGATGCTCAACAATATGCCTACTTGAATCAACATGCCGAATAAACACAATCATCTGCTCCTTAACTGATATATCTCTCGACTCAACAATATGCCTACTTGAATCAACATGCCGAATAAACACAATCATCTGCTCCTTAACTGATATATCTCTCGACTCATCAACTATTATTCCAAATAATTCTTCACCAAGATCATTGATTATTATTTGGGTTACCTCACTTGCAATTGCATTAGCTATATCTTTTTGAATGCAAGGGGCAATCTTTTGGTGATTTTCAGGTGCATTTTGCAACACTATTTTGACAATTTTTCATTATTATTAGCAAGTAACTTTAAAGCCTCAAGGAAGTTTCCTCGACTAAGTGAGTCGTAGCTTTCATCATGTCCACGAAAAGCAAGTCATTGCCTTAAAAGAAGTCGGATGCATTCACTGATGAAGTTAATCGAACACGATAGTCTTGTTTTGATTGCTCCAACTGTTTTGATACACAAACGTGTATGTGTTGCTCTTGAGTCATATAGTCTTGACAAACTTGTACGTTGCTTGCGTGAACACTATTATGATTACCAAATGTGCACGCAACGTTTCCGGCCCTTTTCTCCGAAGTGTTGAATCCTTCTATAACAAATGACTCTCCTCCTGCTTGTTGTCCGCTGCTTCCATCTTTGAATAAATAACAACATAAACAATATGCTGCATCTTCTGATACACTATACTCCAACCAATCTTTAAACCATTTAGGATTAAACCTCCTATTGACACGTGTAATCACTCTAGTAGGAAAAACATGATTTTTTGGTTGACAAGGACCCATTTGTAAATATCTTCGTCGCATAATATCCCTATCATTGATATTATATTCATAAATGCTTTTCCTTTTAGGCGGATCAACTTCAAGTTCATCTATGTTAACTTCAATAAGCGGCCTTGTACTTACACTTCGCGACTACATTAACTAGATGAATCCTCAAAAGTTGATTTTCTTTTAAATAAATTTTCCATAACTAAACCAACATAATTAAGTAAGTAAATTAACATAAGCATCTTACTAGTATTTACAATTATCAAGTAATCAATTAGTAATTAGTTATCAACAAATAACAAATAACATAAAAAATCAGTATGACACTATTTACAGATTAACAAATAAAATAAGCAAACTAGTACTTACAGATTAACTAATTAGTTAATTACTAATCCACATTAACAGATTAAGTAATTAGTAATTAACTAGGATAATCCACACTTAATAAATAATAATTAACAGATTATCAATTGAATTAGCAAACAAATATATTATTATGATTTAGGTGCAATATTATATATAATGTGTTCAGTATCCATACCTGCAGTAGTTTCCTTCCACCAATTCACCAAACATTACATAAGTTATAAAGTAGACATCAAAGCCTTGGCTGCTTCATCATCTGAAGAGGCATTCAAGCATTATCATCTATTCATCTTGAAATCTTGAATACCCAGAGCCATAAACTAGACCTAAATGGAGGAGTGACAAAAACAAAATTAGGCAAAAAAAATATATCAAAAAATTAGGGTAATTTCAAATTAGGAAAATCATAATTAGGGCAAACAAAAAATTAGGGCAATTAGATAAACAATTGAATTAATTTTTGAAATTAATATTTATAATTTAAGGGGGGAGATTGTGAGAAGTTGATGTTCATAGTAATGGTACTAATAGAAGGGTCGAAGAATGAAGAAAAGTAGAAAACCAATTAACCAAACCTGATGGTTGGTGTCAAGTTGAGTGGCGAGAGCGCGGTGGGCGGTGGTGAGGCGGTGGACCGGCAAGGGCGGCATGAGTGTATGGAGGTGGTGCCCTGGTTGCAGTCGCAGAGGAGGTGGTCGCAGTCGCAGAGGAATTAACGGAAGAAACGCAATACAAGGCAGCCAAAACTTAGTCTGTAAGGAGAACAAATGTATATATATATATATATATATATATATATATATATATATATATATATATATATATATATATATATATATATATATATATATATATATATATATATATATATATACAAATTCATTTTTATTCAAATTTTTGTCTATTTTATGATTTGTAAGGATGTTCTGATGTTATTTGTAAGTGTAAAAAATATTACACGTAAATCCACTTAAAGTTGGCTCAAATTAATTTTCAAAATAATTAGTGGTTAGGTTCTGGACCTAGTCCAATATCTGTGTCAGTAGAGTCTGGTAGGTCAGAAGATTTGAAGCTCATTCAACATTACATTTCGGTTAATACCCTATTTACAAGGTGCTTTAAATCTAGAGGAGCAGCTTAAATTGAGGAGTTAAGGGCTGCATGATTTGAGATCAAGGAGGCTTTACACTACCTCTATAAAATGTTACTTTGTTTAACATTTTATTTTGCACTTTAATGAGTTAATCTATTGAGTTTATTCCTCATACTCTGCCCAATTATTCAATCAATATATACGAGTGAAGAATGTTTCTCAATTGGTTCATGTTGTGGAGAAGATAGCATGCACGTCAAGTTCATGGTGGTGTTGGAGTAGGCTCTAGAGTAGTTGTAGTTTATACTTTAGAGTGTAACATACTCTCCTATTGTACTCCTGTTGTTCATCTAGTGGATTTGGGTTGACGTGAGTGTCCCCTCAGATGTAGGAGTGAGGCTCCAAACTGCGTGAATATTTACTAATGCACGATTCCATTTATTGCTTTTATAATTAGTTTCTTTATTATGTCTATAATAGATAACTCCAGTTTAATAATTGAATTAAATTTTAATAGAAACCTTTAGGCTATCTCTTGCATTCAAGATCCACAAGCTTTTTCATTATTTGTCAATGTATTCTAATACCATTTTAAATTATCAAAATGAATTTATGATAAATTGCAGACATTCCTCATTTCCTTGCATGTTATTTATTTACCTATTTATTTATTTATTTATTTATTTATATTCCAATTACATTCGCATCCAATTCATTTACAAATTTTCACCTTGCATTTCATCCATTTTAAGTAAATGTGGAATTGAATGATAGAGAATTTGGTGAATCCTTGCTCACCTCTAAGGGGGTGTTTGGTTCAAGTTATATAAGATAACTAAGGTTATATTTGATTGGGAATATAAGATTTCTATGTTTGGTTTAGGTTATGTAATTTTCATAGGGAATGTCACATAACCTCCAGACATAATTTTTAGCTATTGGAAGGGAATATGAGATACCCTTTGAGGGGGCATTTGGTTCACGGAATGTTAGATTACCTTAGGGAATGTTAGATTACTGGGAACGTTATATTACTAGGAATGTTAGATTCCTGTGTTTGGTAAAAACTGGGTTATATATAATATAAACCTGTTTGGTTGATGAATTGTTGGGAATGTTATAGTGGTTATTTTACCTTAATGCCCTCATATTACAAATCATCTTGCAAAGTCAATGGCAAATTTTGTAAAATAACAAGGGAATCTTATATTACCTAAGGAGAAGAAGATTATCACATTCCCTCAAAATTAGAAAAAATCTGATGTGGAGGGTAAATTAAATAACATTCCATGGAAAAGTTGGATAACTTCAACCAAACAAAAGAATCTTGTGTAACTAGCCAAATATAACCTTGATTATCCTAGATAACCCGAACCAAACGCCCCATAAGTATAACAATTGATTCGTATTACCTTGGCTTCTTAGAACTTAATTGGAGCAGATTTAAGCCCATATTCAATTTGGACCTTGGAGAAGGGGCCGATGAAGTGTTGACTTTTGATACGAGAACCCGCTCGCATAGTCGCGCTGCTAAATGGTTCGGGTCAAACCATTACGGGTCCTGGGGTTGCCTCGAAGGTTTCATACTCCATCATACTACCCGTTAAATCCCAAACCGGTGAAGAGTTTGCTTTGCAGTTTGCTCATCAATGGCGCCTAAAGTTCTCATGGTCAGAGAATCGCCCTCCCCCTCCCTTTTCCCTTTTCAAATATTTTTGCTCATTTTCTGCATATTTTGACGCCTTTTGAGCTTTCAGGTGGCAGAAAAGCCCAGCATTGCTCTGTCGATTGCGTCTGTACTCTCTGGTGGCCAAGTATGCATACCCTTACTTTTCTTAGTTGGTTTATTAAGTCCTGTTGTTTCTTTTTCGTGGCGCTAAATGTGGGGAAGAAAAGATTGAAAATTAAAAATAGAAAATGTTTCATTGGGTTCTCTGGGCATTTTAATTATATGAATTGGGAAGTACTGAAGTAGTCAAAAGCATAAATCAGAAGATTTTATGGGCAAACTTAATCAGTTGTTGTGGTTGGATGTTTGAAAATAATCACAACTCAGCTCAACGAAGCATTGATCTGTGGATTCTATTTCATAGTTTATTTCTCTTTAATGCTAATTTAGTCATTACTGCTCAAAGCAAAAAAAAAAAGGAAGAGAACTTGAGGTAATCGAGGGAGGGCCTGATAGAATGTTGCATTGTAGCCTGCTTTTCTTCTTAATTGGAGAATGCTGTAGCTAGGTTTCTGATCATTTATTAAAAACTGACCTGGGAAAGCTTTTTCTTGAATGTTTTTTCCCACAAATTTTAAATGAGATTTGAATATATGTGTATATCATTATTATTAGATGACAAAGCAATGCCCTTGCCTCAGTTAGTTATGGATGCTACATAGAATAGGCAGATGGAGTGTTTATTTATTTATTTATTATTTTTTTTTATTTTTAATAATATATGGAGAAATTTATAGTATCTATTTTTCCAGAAGAAAATTCTACGGCCTTTCCCCAACTTGAATGACCCACTTTGACTAAGCATGGATATTAAGAGTTTAGTATTGATTGATTGATTGATTGATTTATTTTTAAAATTATCTGAGTTGATATATCATAATAATAAAGTACTCTGTAACTAGTGGAATATTTTGACGTATAACCTGTAAGGAAAACATCATATCGAGGTTAAAGTAGTCTGTCTTAGAAACAAATTGAATTCTTGGAGATTGTAATCTTTACATTTAGATAAAGGGCCCATTAATTTCAGGACACTCCAGAATAAAAACATTAAAAAGTGGATCATTTGAAATATGACAAAGGGAGTACTATACTTAGGACTCATGGCTATAAGTAGGGGCAAGATCTAGGAAATGTATTAGTATTTCTACTGTAAACAGTGAAAGCACAGTAAATCCTGAGTTAGGCCTTAATCTTGCATGCCCTGGTTTCTTATTTTTTCGGTATAAGTTCATTCTTGCTGAATTCTATGAACATATTTCTAATTTAAAAATTTTGTCCGTGAAATGAATTAATTGCACTTCTTGTCGTTCTATCATCCTTAGCTTTCTTCAATTTGCTTGAGCTGAAATCTTTTAAAAATGGCATTGCTTCACATATTGCATATTTGGTGCAGATGTCAACACGGAGGGGTAGTACTGATGTGCACGAGTTTGATGGAATGTTTCTTGGTTCTCGTGCTCAGTTTAGAGTGACTTCAGTGATTGGTCATGTGTTCAGGTTTGCAATTATTTCAAATCATGATAAGTACATTCAATCGTATTTGCTTGCTTCAGTGATATACTTGCTCCCTATATCTCTACTATATGAGTGAGCAAATGTAATTTTAAGTTTTCTGTTTTTGACAATTCAGTGTAGATTTTCCAGCATCATATCAAGATTGGGCATCTACAGACCCTTTGAGTCTTTTCCAGGCACCAGTTCGTAAGGCGGAGACAAATCCAAAGGTAGGGAGTTCTCTTTGTTTGTCTGATGTAGTAGTAGTAGTAACAAGAAGAGAAATTTTTAGCCAATGGCATTTATGTAGAGAAAGTGGTCGGAAAATATTACACTAGTAGGTCAAAATTTTGTCCACAAAGAAGCAGGAAATTGAAGAGACTGATGGTTTCTTAGCTTATGGTAAATTGTATTGGGAGAAGTTGTTTAGGGTTTCAAAATTTGGTGGAAATAAAAAGAAAACTTTCTTGTTCTCACTCCTAGAAACCCTAAATCCCTATTGCATCAGACACTTGAGAAGAAATCCATTTCACAATTCAGTAGTAAGTTTCTTTGAAAATTCTTTATTACTCAACTCTGAGAAATTAAAACTGTGAAAGTGTAAAGGGTTTCATCTATTTCATCACATAGAACTGTACAGATTACAATAATTTATACTGGAAAACTAGCTATAACCTAATGGGCCTACTGTAACGGGCCTAGGGTTTCAATACTCCCCCTCAAGTTGGAGAGTAGATCATAAGCTCCAAGCTTGTTACAAATATATTCAACTCTAGGAGCTCTAAGGGATTTCGTCAAGATATCAGCTAACTGATCTGCAGAATTGACGAAGCTAGTTTTAATACACCCTGACACAATCTTCTCTCTAATGAAGTGGCAGTCAACCTCAATGTGTTTAGTCCTTTCATGATAAACATGATTTGACGCGATGTGTAGAGCTGCTTGATTGTCACATATCAACGTCATTTGGGCAACATTGCCACATTGCAATTCTTGTAGTAGGTGTTTAAGCCACATAAGCTCACATGTGGCAAGCGCCATGGCTCGATATTCTGCTTCAGCACTGGACCTAGCAACCACATCCTGCTTCTTACTTTTCCAAGATATGAGATTACCTCCAATGAGAATACAATAACCTGAAGTAGAGCGTCTGTCAAACGGGCAACCAGCCCAATCTGCATCACAATACCCAACAACTTGTAAATGTCCTCTATCTTCATATAATAAGCCTTGTCCTGGTGCTCTCTTGATATACCTTAGAACACGAACAACAGCATCCCAATGAGAATCACAAGGTGTCTCAAGAAACTGACTCAACACACTAACTGCGAAGGAGATATCCGGTCGTGTGATCGTGAGATAATTCAGTTTTCCAATTAATCTCCTATATCGCTCTCGGTCAGGCAATGGCTCCCCCTGTCCTGGTAGGAGTTTAACATTCGGATCCATTGGATTATCAACCGGTCTACTGTCCAGCATGCCAGTTTCTTCTAAGATATCCAAGGCATACTTCCTTTGAGAAATAACAACACCACTGCTAGATTGAGCCACTTCAATTCCAAGAAAGTATTTCAGCTTACCCAAATCCTTAGTCTGGAACCGACTAAAGAGATACTCCTTCAATTGAAATATGCCCTCTTGATCACTCCCTGTAATAACAATGTCATCCACATATACTACAAGGTATATGCATTTCTCATTAGAATGACGATAGAAAACAGAATGATCAACCGCACTTCTTGTCATACCAAACTCACACACCACAGAACTAAACCTTCCAAACCAAGCTCGTGGAGATTGCTTTAAACCGTATAAAGAACGGTGAAGTTTACATACCAGACCAGACTCCCCCTGAGCAACAAACCCAGGTGGTTGCTCCATATAAACCTCCTCGTGAAGATCACCATGAAGAAAGACATTCTTGATATCCAGCTGGTGTAAGTCCCAATGATGAATGGCTGCCAAAGACAAAAGTAACCGAATTGAAGCAATTTTAGCAACCGGGGAAAAAGTATCAGTATAATCCAAACCAAAAATCTGAGTATAGCCTTTCGCCACCAGTCGAGCCTTAAGACGATCAATTGCACCATCAGGGCCCACTTTCACCGTATAAATCCATCTACAACCAACCACAGTTTTACCAGGAGGAAGAGGAACCAACTCCCACGTGCCACTAGACTGGAGGGCCTCCATATCTGTTAACATGGCTTGACGCCAACCTGGATCCGAGAGAGCCTCACGAGTGGATTTGGGTATAGACACAGAAGATAGGTGAGAAAGAAATGCAAAGTAAGGGGACGAGACACGGTGATAACTCAGAAAGGTATATATAGGATGGGGGTTACGAGTAGAACGTGTACCTTTTCGAACAGCAATAGGTGCCTCAGTGAGATCAGTGTCAGATTGCAGTGGAAGTGGTGGAACCGCAGCCGGAGGATCGGACAGCACTGGCAAGTCACTAGGGACCTCAGGAACTGCAGGGCGAGGACGCTGGTGATAAACCTGAAGGGGCGGGTTTAGAGCAGTCGGTTGAGCTGGAGGAACAGTGGACTGGACAAGAGGAAGTGGATCAAGATAAGGTACGGGGAGCACCTCAGAGACAGGGATCGTGTCTCCTGATGAGGACTGGAAAAACGGTGTGGACTCAATAAAGGTGACATCTGCGGACACAAAGTGACGCTTTAGTGCTGGAGAATAACACCTATAACCCTTTTGGACACGGGAATAACCCAAAAAGACACACTTGACTGCTTTAGGATCTAATTTGGATCGACCTGGAGTCATGTCATGAACAAAACAAACACACCCAAAAACACGAGGATGAATAGGGAAAGGATCAACAGAAGGACACACAATGGAATATGGGGTGTCATTGTTAAGAGCAGAAGATGGCATGCGATTGATCAGGTAACAAGCAGTAAGGATAGCATCAGCCCAGAATTGGGAATGAACATGGGAGTGTAACAACATAGTACGGGCAATTTCTACTAGATGTCTATTCTTACGCTCAGCCACCCCATTCTGCTGAGGTGTGTAAACACATGACCTTTGATGCAATATACCACGAGATGTCATATATGACTGAAAAGGATGAGAGAGATATTCTTTAGCATTATCACTACGCAAAATACGAATGAGTTTGCCAAATTGAGTTTGTATTTCAGCACAAAAAGTTTGAAAAATTTGAAACAATTTAGAACGATCTTTCATAAGGAAAACCCAAGTGCACCTTGAATAATCATCAATAAAGGTTACGAAATAACGAAAACCCAAAATAGAGTTGACACGACAAGGACCCCATATATCTGAATGAACTAAATCAAAGAGGGACGCAGCCCGATTATTGACTCTTCTCGGAAAAGACCTACGTGATTGCTTTCCAAGATGACACGACTCACAATCAAAAGACTCAATAGACAGACTTGGGATCATCCGTTTTAGTTTAGAGAGACTAGGATGACCCAAACGACTATGAATAAGTAAAGGAGACTCTGTAGAGGTAGAAGCAACAACATCACCACCCCGCATGTAATAGAGGCCCTGTGACTCATTGCCGGTGCCAATCACCCTCCCTGTACTGCGATCCTGCACAACAACCGAATCAGCACAAAAGGTTATGGAACAATTGAGAGTACGGGTAATTTTACTCACAGAGATAAGGTTGAAAGGACTGTTAGGGACATATAAAACAGACTCCAAAGAAAAAGACGATATAGGGGAAGCCTGACCAACACCAATTGCTGGTGTTTGATGACCATTAGCTAAGGTGACCATGGGCAAAAGTCTTAGACTTAGACACATTATGCAAAAGAGAAAGGTTACTGGAAATGTGATCTGAAGCACTTGAGTCCAATATTCAAGAGTTTGGAGTATTGGTGTGTGAAAGACAAACCAAAGACGAAGTACCAGCATTAGGTGTGGAAGATTCAAGGCGGGATGCTGCTTTAAGCTGGAGATACTCTTCATATTCCCTAGAGGTCATCTCAATTGGAGTAGAGGTTGGTTCATGAGTCTGACTCTCGGATGCAGTGGCCTGGACCAGATTAGCAGAACGGGGAGGTCGACCATGTAACTTCCAACAACGATCTTTGGTATGACCATCTTTGTGGCAGTATTCACACCGAGGACGTCTGCCACGACGAACACCACCACCACTAGATGGTCCAGAAGGTCCTCTATCCACAGCCCGAGTAGCTAGAACTAATGATTCTCCAATAGGCTCAATCGAGGGAGCTGAGGCAACACGAAGCAGTCTGGCAGCGGTGTCAGTGAAAGTAGGCATATTAGGACTAGATAGAATCTGATCACGAATGTGAACCTGATCAGGCCGAAGGGCAGCCAAGGTCAACACCATAAAGAACTTATCACACTGCTTCGCATGATTTTCTAACATCTCCTGATACGAAAGTAAATTATTATACTCCTGTTGTAGAGCTTCAATCCGACCCAAGAAATCCTGTGTACTTGTATCAGCAGTGGAACGGAAGTTAAGCATATTAGATATAAGGGAATATAGCCTTTGGATATCATTAGTATACAACGACTTAGCTTTATTCCACACATCATAACAAGTTTCACGTAAATAAGATATAGTTTAGGGTCAATGGATTGCCACAACATATTGCACAATAACGCATCTGACTTTTCCCAATCTGATTTCTTCGATTCTTCAATTTCCCCAACCTTTTTGGTTAGATGATCAGACATCCCCTGGCCTTTGAACCAGAGTTTCACAGACGCGGCCCACGATGTGTAGTTTTCACTCCCAACCAATTTGTCCATAGTAATGGTGGGATAAGAGGTAAAGGAAGCCATAGAGATTACCCACAAAAAAAATAACACATTGTTTCTCTCTGACCGGCGGTGAACGGCGGCGGTGGGCGGCGGCGAGGGAAACGGTCAATACTCCCGGAAGCGCCTCGTTGAGACGAATCCAACGGCGGTGGCGGTGTCGCGATCGGAGGCCGGAGGAGAGAGATCTGGCCGGAAAAGTGAGCGGCAGTCCAGCGATGTCGGCGGCGCGTGGCCGCGCGTGCGGCGGAGATCGGCGACCGGATTCCTGCTGTAGGCTCGCGACGACGGTCCGGTAACCCCTGTGGTGTTACTTTGGAAGAAAAACCACAAGGTGGACGTCGGAACAGTAAGACAGTCGCGGCGGCAGTGTGGCTCCGGTGGCGGCAGCGGCGGCGACGGCGGTGGGAGGGAAGAAAGGGATTATTTAGGGGTTAGGCTCTGATACCATGTGAAAGTGTGAAGGGTTTCATCTATTTCATCACATAGAACTGTACAGATTACAATAATTTATACTGGAAAACTAGCTATAACCTAATGGGCCTACTGTAACGGGCCTAGGGTTTCAACAAAAACTATTACAAACAGATTTTTTGTGGATTCTGAAATGCCTGATGACCCTGATTCATAGAAGCTCCAATGAGACTAGCTGACCTTTTTGTGTGTATTTCAAACTCAGTTAACATATTTCCACCTTTACTTAACCTTGACATGTAAATAATGTTTTAAATGATAGAAATTCAGAATCAACAAGTGTTCCATAAAATGAAGGGAATTACAATAGAGCATAACACCACCCTTTTTTTGTCCATAAAGGGATGGTAAATTCCTAGAATTTCTGAAATTACAAAAATGCTCATGATTTCTAGAAACTGAATAAATACTCTTGACAACAAACTTGCTTTCCTTTTACTGTTCAATGTTCTGCTTTACTGTCCATTCTGGTTTTGTTCGTACTTTTCCATCCACTATCTTGCTTGCTCTAACATAATCGAATTTATTCCACTTCTGGTTGCTTGACTATAGTGACATTTCCACTTTTGGCCTTCAATTTTGATTTGTTCCACTTTTAGTCTTCCATTTATAAAAACGTTTCACTTTTAGTCCTAAGTACTCAAAATGCCCTCACTTTGTGAAAATTTACCAAACCTCAGCTTACTAGTAATACTACATTTAAGGGAATTTGAGCTAAAAGTGGAACATTTTTAAAAATCAACGACTAATGCTAAACATATCAAAGCTGAAGACCAAAAGTAAAAATGCCATTAAATTCGAGAGATCAAGTGTATAATAAACTCAACAAAATCTTTACAACAGTAAAAGCATTAAAATGGGATATTTTCTAGCTCATCAACATAAAATGGTTGTTTGCTATAAGTTGCACCAACTGTCTTGGTTTCCTAATATATTAATAAGAATTTGAACTTCATGTAAGTATGTAACTGCTGAAATTCGTTTTGCGTGTGTGTGAGTTGTATGGTATTTTTTTGAGCTCCGAAATATGTTTCGTGGCACAAGTTTATTTTCATTTACAATCTCACTAACTAGGTCAGAGCTAGAAATGCTTAAAATCCTACACCCTCAGCAAATTATGGTTAGCTATTAACAGAATTGCTGATTTGTTTTTCAAAAGAAAAGAGAAATGGTTATGCAAATTACAGAAAGTCTCTTACTTCATAATCTGTTTCACCATCATATTGCCCCATATTGTTTACTTTTCCTTTTGTCTCTTGTGTTGGGTTCATTGAATTTAGTAGTGAGAAGGATAACACCATGCCCTTATACTCCAGCGTTTACCATAGCTTTTGGTAGGTATCTGTATCCATTAAGAATTTATTGGAACCCATTAACTGGCACTCCAGCATGATGAAGCTGACAACAGGTCTCTCTATCTCGGAAAGCTACCTCCAATTAATGAATGGTTCAGCAACTTAGTTTATAACCAGTGAACAAACTATTTTCTTTAAGAGATTGTCTGTGTATGTCTCCTTTAAAGTTTTAACATATATCATTGGGAGTTTGTTATTTATTTTAGCTTGTATTATAGTCATTTTGAAGAAGCAGATAAAATGTAAATTGTATCTATCTGTTGTTTAGATTGATAGAGTTGGCTATCTAACCTCCTGGAAACAAGGCTCACATTTGTAGGCATATAAGCCAAGAAGCTCGTGGTTGTGGACAACTAGTGTTGTGGTTGGACTGCGATCGTGAAGGAGAAAATATATGCTTTGAAGGTATCCCTCTCAATAAGATTGTTTCCCTCCGTCCCATTTTATGTGTCTTACTTTCCTTTTTAGTTTGTCCCAAAATGTTGTCCACTTTCCAAAATTGAACATCACCATCATTCTACTTTTTTCAAATTACCCTTCTAGCTTTTGCTTTCTTTATTGTTTTTATTTCCAAAAGTGAAAAAGTGAGGGGCATAATTGGAAAGTGCATAACATTTACTTTAATTCATTAAAAAGCGTGCAAAAAGTAAATGAGACATCCAATTCGGGACGGAAGGAGTAATATATAATACCTGAAACTACTTATATATGTATGTGTGCGTGTGTACATATACATATAGTACCTGAAACTTGCCTACAACACATTTTCAATAAATTTCTTAGAGTCTCAGGACTACAAACAAAATGTGCCAAACCAGAGTCTTATAGAGAGCTAGTCAGTAGTCAGCTAGGTAGGTGGCACTATACTTGCAAAAAAAATGCACAAATCAAGGCTGAGTTACCTGAGTAAGCTAATAGTAAAATTGTAAAAATGAAGAAATAATTATAATTATATTGTACTTGATACTTAAAAATATCAATGTTCTAGAGGTGGCAATGTGGGTGGTTTACATTCCAACCCACCCAAACCACCCATCTTTAAACTTGTCTAAAACTCCAAACCACCGAAATAACCTGTACTTCAACCTTTTTTTGAGCCACCCAATATAACCCATGGTTAATTTGGGCTGGTTGAAAAGCTGCCCAATTTTTCTTCAACCCATTTGTCGCCTATCCAATATTCCCTTAAAAATCCTTGATCTAAATCTGACTAAGTAGTGTACCTAGTATTCCTTAGCTGTTCCGACAAAAGATCCAACGGATGCACATAATAGAAAGTAAGCTAAAATAACACCAGATTTAACATAGTTTGAAGATTTCCTAATTTTCGACCTGCGGGGCAGACACCTTAAGGTGATAGCCAAATTCACTATAGTAATTTTAAATACAAGATACACGGATTTTACACAACTTGTGAAACTTATCTACAATTGCAACCCTAATCTAGTATCACTAGGAATTCGGAATACAGGAACCCTACCTATTCTTCATGAGAAAAGTCAGAAAACACCCTTCTGACCCAAAAACAGATGACAGTAGATGATGAGAATTTTGTTGCTTGAGAAATTCTGTTCAGCGCACAGTATTGGTAGATAACCCTCAAGCTCTCAAGGTGTTCAGGATGCAAGAACACATGCCTTTTTCTTGGAATCATCAAGAGAAGTTTCAATCAAATTCAAAGATCAATCTGTGTTTTGCCAAAATAATATTCCCTAGAATTAAATTGACATTTACATTCTGTATCAATACTTAAAACCAGCATGATGGGTGTTGCTCTTAATAGCAAGGAAAGAGGCCAAGATCTATAGTTAATTGCTTGACATGCTTTCAACATAATTGCTGATTGTTTAGAGAGCACAATGTTTCACTCTGTATTATTTACAGCTTTTTAAAGTGGGATCAATGGGTTTGTCTTAGGAATCTAGAGAGTTTCCTTTATTGAGCTAGTTATATTGATTATGTTGCTTGTTTATTGTTAATCATATTTTTTCTTTAAACCAGTTTTTAGATTACATGATTATTAGAATTCTTAGAATTTCAATTGTGTATAAATGGAGAGCCTCCATCAGATGGTGTGAACTTCTGGATTAAAACTGGTATCGCCTCATGTGCAGTCATTAAAACTGAAAAACCATAAAAATTTCTTATCTGGCAAACCTTGAAATTCAGATTTCCGATATATTATTCTCTCTATACCAGTATACCATGGCCTGCTATTCCACTTTCCATTGCCCCATGAAATTGCTGTAAGCACAATTCTCAGAGAAACTATGATAGACTATCTTTCATTTGAAGTATTTAGTTCTGTTGAGTTAACAAGCACTTGATGGGCTGTTCATGACTAGACTCTTTGGTGCCTGACATAATGCCACATGCTTATTATATAGATCAAGACTTTGTTTCTTTAGTGATAAGGTGATTTGAACAATGAAGACAAATGGAATTTGGCCATTGAAATTTTGGCTCAAATATTTGAGCAGCAATTTTAGATGTGGCATTTTGCATGTAACTATGTAAGTAATGCTGGATCTTGATTCTAGGGGTCAAAGTGAAAGCCATCATACTGATCATGGATAAGATTCAGAAATTTGTTTCTTATCAAAGTTCTCTTAGGCAGACTTGAAAAAAAAAAAATAAAATAAAATAAAATAAAATAAAATAAAAAAAAAAATATATATATATATATATATATATATATATATATATATATATATATATATATATATATAATGGCCATAACATAGGTGAACTTATATAGAATAAAAAAATAGCATGCAAAATAAATTGCTGGAAAATTGGGAGTAGGGAACAGCATGTGTGAAAGTGATACTGTATTGGATCTTTCCAAAGGAATGAAGGATTATTAATTTATTTCTTTTTAAAATTTTGATTTTTCTATCAAATCTCTTACCAGTTTGTTTTTCACTCATTTGTGGTTTACATTTCCCCTATACTTTTGCAGTTTCTGTTCTTATTCACATTATGTGCTTTTCTATCATTTTTGTTGAACTTTGTCCCCACAACTTGCTATTCATTTTTGTTTTGGTATTTTAGTCATATATGGGGCATTAGTTTAAATCTTGTTTCTTTCTTTTCTCATCCCTCTATTTCTCTTTTAAAATTTTCCTTTTATTTCTTCTCCCTTACACATCAATGAATGTTGCTAATTATGTATTAAGTAAATCAACCATGCTTCACCACCAACCCCAAACTTTATTAGATCGAGGCTTAGTTGACCTGAGCTGAGTTATGCAGCCATGTTCCATAGAAAATTACACATAGGATGGGACAATCTGACTGTGCTGTTCAGACAACAGCAAATCCAAGAGGTGACTACATATGTAGGATATTTCAGCTAGTTTATGACGTTATGGGCCAAGGTAAAGATGTGAATTGTCTATTAATTCTTGCAAGTTGGGGTCTTCTGCAATTTTTTTCTCTTGGTTTAGTTTATTAATGCCAGAAAGTGCTTGCTTTACTTCAGAGTAGGCACACTTCTGGTTTGTAGAGCCAAGAAGAAAGTTAGGAAGGAGACTCCTGATGTGCTTGATTTTGGAGGAATGGAACCAACACATTTTTGGAGTAGGATTTCATATAACATATTGATGCTTCATTGCTTCCTTAATTCCTTATTTCTTAAGCCTTTTAAGTTCATGAGTGTTAAGAGCCCCACATTGATAAAATAAGAGAAAATATATGGGTTTATAAGGCCATGGGTTAGACTAGCTAATTGGTTGGATTCAATCTTTTAGTGTGGTTTGGCCCATGTGCATTATAGCCCAATTGAGTGACCCTAGCCCAATCTTAAATTATAACAATGAGCACAATATTGTTTCACTCTTTTTGTAGAATTTCCTTGGTGCTGTTACTGACACACAACGAAAAGTATAGGACCTTTATAAAACCCTAAGAAGTTGGGTCTAAAGTTGCAGTTAATCCTTATTTGTTAATTTCTCATATATCCATATATGATATTTACATTTGGAATTGCAACTTTGCAGTCAATTTTAGAGCACATATATGATATGTCCATTCTCAATTGTATTGAGTTGGCGAAGTTGCTAGGCTGATGCATTAAAAGTATTTGATTTAAACTACTTCTTAAAGTCTTTCTTGGAGCTCTTGTTTGATGTTTACTTGGTTCTGCTTTTACTATTATTTGTTTCAGTGATTGAATGCACTGGATTTCCATGGAATGATGGGAAAAGAGTTTACCGAGCTCGATTCTCTTCTGTTACTGAAAAGGATATTCTGAAGGCCATGAATAGCCTTGTTCTGCCTAACAGAGATGAGGCATTGTCTGTAGATGCACGTCAGGAGATTGATCTGAAAGTTGGAGTTGCATTTACACGTTTCCAGACCAGCTATTTCAATGGGAAATATGGCAATCTTGATGCAAGAGTTATCTCGTAGGTCCTATATATGTGTGCATTAATCTTCAATTGCCATTTGCATCCTGCTCCATAAGGAGATATAGTTTTCATAACTACTGTTATGATATCATTCCTCTGTGTTCAGCTATGGGCCCTGTCAAACTCCTACCCTTGGATTTTGTGTAGAACGCTACCTGCAAATTACCACATTCAAGCCGGAGAAGTTTTGGATGGTGCATCCATATATAATGTATAAGGGATATGAACTTAAATTAGGATGGGAACGCAACAGGTTGTTTGATGCAGACGTGAGTTCATTTAATTAAATTTCTTATAGAATTGAATCCATTGAACCTATGTTTCCTATCAATGTGTATATGCAAACCTTGTCCTACTATCACAGGTTGCTATGATGTTTCGGGATGTAATAAAAGAAGGTGGAATCATGAAAGTTGTTCGTATATCTGAAAATCATGAGTCCAAAGCTCGCCCTTCTGGTCTGAACACAGTTAATCTTTTAAAGGTCAGAGCTTGAAGGTTTCCAACTGTTTTCTTTATTTTTTTTTGACTGAGATTTTCAACAATTTATGGTCAGATAAACACATTAGTCCATAAACACATAAATTGATTATGATGATCTCTTTACAATTTCAGGTTGCTTCAAGTGCATTAGGCTTTGGCCCGCATTTGGCTATGCAATTAGCTGAGCGTCTATATACACAAGGTTTCATCAGGTTTTTCCTACTTATCAGTTTGCTATCATATTATTATTATTATTATTATTATTATTATTATTATTATTATTATTATTATTATTATTATTATTATTATTGTTGTTGTTGTTGTTATTATTATTATTATTATTATTATCCTTAACCATGATTATTGTAGATGGATGTAACATTAGTTGAAAATATGTTCTTCTAGATGGGCAATAATAATACTCCACAATTATAATTACATATGTTTGACTGTTTCAGTTAAGCAATTCCTAAGTTTAGACTAAGATTTGAACCCATTATGGGTATTAAGAAGTAAGAACAATGGTTTTAGTGGGAAGTGAAGCACTAGTCGGTCTGGTTTACATAAGGAAAAATGAAGATAAATGCAGAGAAGGTTATGTGTCTTGTGTAATAAGCCAGTCATTTTGCAAAATTGATTGCCCTTCAACTTAGTAAATAATGAAAATAAATGATAAAACTATTTGAAATATAGATTGATCTTCATCTCATAAAAAATTCATAAATTCTTTGTACTTTTGGTAGTAATCTGTCTTGAAAAGGGATTCAAAATAAAATTTTGTCAATAATTATTGGTATCCAGTAAGAATTAATGAACCCCAATCAGCAGCCATCCAGCACAGGATAAAGTGGATAACATATTAAGATGCTTCCCCATCCCCCCACCTGTCCCCGAAAAAACTGCCTCCAGAGAATGAATAGCTCAAAAACTTAGTTTTTAACTGGAGAGTAGTTTTGTTTTTGTTTTGTTTTGTTTTTTTTTTTTTTTGTTTTTTTGTTTTTTTGTTTTGTTTTTTTTTTTTTTTTGTATTTTAAATCTTTTTTCCAAGAGAATGTCAGAGCATGTCTCCTTTAAACATATTTCATTGAGAAATTTACTACCCATGTAAACAAACAATTCGTTCTGGAATTTACTACCCACACAGACCTACAATTCTAACTGCTGCATTAGAATAATAGACAAAAACATGTGATTATATGAGTCTTTGTTGAATTTACTAGCCAGTGCTTCTAAATCTTATTGGTTTTTTTTCTTCCTCTTCCAGCTATCCACGCACAGAAAGCACAGCTTATCCTTCTTCTTTTGACTTTAGAGGCACACTTGGGGCAATGGGACGTAATCCTGTTTTTGGTGATTATGCACAGAAGCTGTTATCTGAAGGTTATCCTAAGCCACGGGCAGGAACTGATGTAGGCGATCATCCTCCAATTACACCAATGCGTTCAGCTGCCGAAGATACGTTGGGGAATGATGCTTGGAAGCTCTACCAGTATATTTGTCAGCATTTTCTTGCAACTCTATCTCCAGATTGTAAGTATAAAAGGTAATAGCTCTTAGCTTGGAAGTTCTATCAGTATAATTGCAACAGTAGTTTACCCTTCCTCTACATATGAACCATAGCTCTTAGCTTGTACCTTGTGGTGGTGCCTATGAATTTCTATAAAATTGGACAGTTTAGTCAATTCTATATTGATATTGGGTACTGCAACATTATGTATGCCAAAATGATGCCACAAATCTTTAATTCTTCAATATATTCAAGTTATATTCAATACTAAGTATTTGCCTTGATTTATGCTCTCTTAGTCTTGGTTTATTCTTTAATAGCTAATGCCTTGATGGTGTGTGGTGACTCTATGCCTCCTTTTGAACTTCCAGTTCATGATATTTTGCACTTCTATACCATAAAATTGAATTCACTTTTTAGAAGCTAATATTCTATACTTTGATATTCACATGCTATAACTAATGCCGCCTGCCTGCCAATTTGTATTGTACTAAATTTTGTTGCAATTTGGAAATAATGTGTATGGCTTATTTGCTGTTACAGGATAAAAATTGACTTTGAATGCGGTGGAGAGTTCTTTAATTGCATTGGGCATCTTGTCACTGCAAAGGGATTCACATCCATTATGCCTTGGCTTGCAATTAGTGAGAAAAACCTCCCTGAGTTCAGTGAAGGGGAGAAAATAGCAATTTCAAAAGTTGAATTAGATGAGGTATGTTGCTTTGGGCCTTTGGCAATAAAGAATGTTTTTGAACTATCTAGTATATGGACCCTTTTATTCCTTTTGCCTAAAATAATAATGTAAAGCTTAACATTAATGGATAAAGTTGATTGAATATGCTGCATAGATATCCTATATGGATCCAGCATAGTGTGTATATGTTAGAGTAAAGAGCAGATGAGGAAGAAGCAATGCAGAAATTATGGGATTAAAATGAAAACAGACAAACAAGGATACTGTAAAGTATCAATGGATTCTTGCTCAGCTACAATTGCTTTTATTTTCTAATCAATCTTCGATGCCTTCAACACTAGGGGAGGCTCCTTATTTATAATCTAATACAATGAAGAAATTAAGTAAATTGCATAAATTATGTGATTTGTCTTCCCCTGATTTTCTGCTCCAATCCCAAGAATTATGCTCCACCTGCAAATCTGATGCTTGATTGATTGGTTACTTGCCATTTTCATTTGTATCTTGACTTAGTGCCTTATCTGTATATTTACACGATTAGAAGTTCCAACTGCAATTTATTTTACCATTTTTGCATTTATACTGAAACAGAGTATTTTTAAAATTTTAAATTTTAGGGAAACACTTCGCCTCCTGATCACCTCAGTGAAAGTGAGCTGATCTCATTAATGGAGAAACACGGAATAGGAACTGATGCATCTATTCCTGTCCATATCAACAACATATGTGAACGCAATTATGTCCAGGTTTGCAGTTTCTCCTTTTTTTTTTTTTTTTGGGTGAATTCAGTCACTTCCATGCAGCCTGAATGGGGACGAAAGTACCATGCAGTGAAATATATTTTGAAATTATAGGTGTCTTTAACTGCAGGTACAGGCTGGAAGGAGATTGGTTCCAACTCCTTTAGGTATCAGCTTGATAAGAGGCTATCAATGTATAGATCCCGATCTCTGTTTGCCTGACATTCGCAGCTTCATAGAGCACCAGATCACTCTTGTAGCTAAAGGTCAAGCAGATCATTCTTTGGTTGTGCAGCATGTACTGGAACAATTTAAAAGGAAGTTCAGCTATTTTGTTAAGCAGGTATGCAAATACTAATTTATTTTACTTTAGGTATCAGCTCTCTTAGATCATCTCCTGTAAATGTGTTAACGGATGATAGAGTAATTGTATCTCATCTTTATCTTTTCCAGCGTTTGTAATGTTTTCACTTTCATTTTGGAATAGACATCTCTCTCCCTTTGATGGTATTTAGATAGTTTCCTTTATTTCTAGGGGATCAGCTTGTTTAGTTCTTTGATTTTCACTTTATAAACTAAAAGAGTTGCAATTCAGTTGTCCAGGTTATCTTTGTATTGGCATCTTTTGCTTCTCCACAATGTTGTATTTTGACCAGTGCATGTTGATATTGACACTTGACTGGCAATAAAAACAAATGATTATGATGGCTTGGAAGTTGAAAAATCACAGTATGGTAAAGCAAGTTAAGCAACTTCTGGAACAAAATGGCCAAATTGCTTCCATGAAGTTTGCTTCTTGGGGACATCTTTTAATTGCACCTATTTGTCTTTTATGTTCTAGGAAAAGTTTGACACTGTCATAGTATGTTTCATGATTTTTGTCCATTTTTTGCATCTTCTTACTTTTTCTTTTGAGTTTTTGGACTACTGATGTATGGGTCGGGAAGGTATTGATATGGTTAAGATTCTGACTTCTGATATTAGAGCCCTTCCCCAGACCATGAACACGCTCCTACAGCTATAAATTGTTTAATACATACGCATGTATATATTTTTGTAATGGAATGCTTCATTTCAGTAAAATGTGTATTTTGCTTTGCACTTTCAATGGTTTTCTTGGAACTAGAGTTCTTAACATTGAGTATTCTCTTTGTTTTCATGACATTAGAAATGTGATTTATGCACATCATGTCCAAAGGATGGATTTATTTTCAAGCTGAACCTTGTCTTCTTGATGTAGATTGAAAATATGGATGCATTGTTTGAAGCACAGTTTTCTCCTTTGTCAGAGTCTGGGCGCCTATTGAGTAAGTGTGGCAAATGCTTGCGCTACATGAAGTATGTATCTACGCAGCCATCGCGACTATACTGCAATACGTGTGAGGAAGTTTATTATGTTCCTCAAAAGGGAGCAGTCAAGGTATTATAATTCATTACACCTCATAATCTAAACCCGTATTTTGGTATTTTCAGACTTGAAACTGTGTCAGACCTATATTATGCTCTTCCCGTGCCAGCTGTATCCTGAGGATCATAGTAGTAAATTTTCCCCATCCACATATTTCAAGTAGTACTTTTCAATTAATGATTTTCTGTTTCAGATCATACCCTTTCAAAGTCGTCATGCAGAATGAGAAAATGTTGAAATCATTAAGCAAAGTTCATAAAATGGAAGCTATATAAGGCTTTTGGATAAGCATGCTTCAATTTTATTGGAGAAAAAGAAAAACCATAACTAAAAATTCTGATGGAAATCATGGAATCAATAGGGGTCCTAAGTCGTGGTAGTATAATGGGATTCAGAAAAAACTTCAAAAAAGCAATGCCATATAAAATAGTACAAATCTTGAATATTTACAGAAAAGTGAAATATATTAGTAAACCAAGAAGCAACATGCTTTGTACAAATTGTACAAAAAAGCTTGTATAATAAGCCTTAATCTTGGAAAAATAGAAGAAAAGTGTAAACTAAGATTTGCTAGGCTATTTGCATGTGGGATGTCATCTTTTCTACCCTTATTGCACTGATTGTTTACTTCTTACTTGTATAAAATGTGAGCTAAACTCATTAATATTCTACCCTTGCAGCTCTACAAGGAACTAACATGCCCTCTGGATAATTTTGAGCTACTATTGTGTAGCATGCCTGGCCCAGAGGGCAAGTCATTTCCTTTCTGTCCTTATTGCTACAACTGCCCCCCGTTTGAAGGCATCGACACACTATTTGGTGCCCCCAAATCAGGTGGTACCGCTGGGGCTGCCAAGCTGGGGAAGGGAGTTGGAATGCCTTGCTTTCTGTGTCCGCACCCAACGTGTCAGCATTCCATGATAACGCAAGGGGTCTGTGCCTGCCCAGAATGCAGTGGAACACTTGTCCTTGATCCAGTTAGCGCTCCCAAATGGAGGCTATATTGTAATACATGCAATTGCCTCGTGTTTCTGCCCGAAGGGGCCCATCGGATTGCCACCACTAGAGACCGGTGTCCAGAATGTGACTCCACCATAATAGAAGTCGACTTCAACAAGAAAACAACTCCGTTGAAGGATGGAAGCACGCTTCATAAGGGGTGCATTCTCTGCGACGAGCTTCTGCATTCAATCGTGGAAATGAAACACGGGAAATCGTTTTCTAGGTATTCAAGGGGAAGGGGAAGGGGAAGAGGAAGAGGAAGAGGGAGGGGACGTGGGCGAGGCGGTAGAAAACAGGATCCCAAAATGAGTTTCCGAGACTTCTAGCTAGTTAGTACTATTGAGTTTTATGTGTCACTGGTTTTTCATTAGAGTATGCAAAATAGGGTAAAATTATTCGTTGTAATAGTATACTAGTGGATGGTTTGGCCACTTTTCTTTTTTAGCTTTCATACCCTTTGTATTGGAAAAAAAATTTAGTGTTCAATTTCAATTTCTAAGTATAGGAGGATATTCTCAAAATATTGTAAATTCAAAAATTGTTTTTTCTTTTAAATTAACAAAATTACTTTTAAAAGGGTTGCTATTATTTTCCTCTTCTATTTTCTTGCTATTGTCCTAGCAAATACAAAGTGTATTACCTCAGCTCCATCTATGCTATGCTCACTCATATTTGACAAATGTACCCCAAATACTTCATAGTGAGATTGACCATTGTTAAATTTTTTATCTTCTGGGTATGGAATCAACACCTTTTTTTGTGGGCAAATTATATTGTGGATCATGGTCTATCTTGCACCGCAGATCATGGTTCATTATTATGATATTCTAAGTTGATTAAAAAGTATCATTGATCATGATTCATTATTATAAATTATAACAATATCTTAAGTTCATTAAGATGGACATCAATTTGTATATTATCATTTACACTTTTTTTTTGTATAAATTAAATCAATGTTCCATTCTCCGCCTTCTCCACCGGTTACGCCTTGCCCCACCCCTCCATCTCCACTGCTACTGGTCGTTTACTCATTTATTTTCGCATTGTTGTTTTCCTTTGTTTTGTTTTACTGGTTTAATTTTGTTTGAGAGTTTGTGTTTCCTCTCGTTGTTTTGACAAGTTTCTTCCTCTCGTTTACTTGGCGATTTCTTTTTCATAAAGTGTGAAACAATAAAACTGGTCATGGCGTATGTGAATCTCATCCTGGGTGACAAACATGACAATGAAAAAGAGACTCCTCTGAACTATGATATGCAGTTCAACCCGATGGAGATATTGTCAATGGAGAGCAGAATGGAAATAGATACTCAGTGCAAGAGTATTCAACCAGAGTCCGTCTTGGGTACGTTTGACCACATCATTAAAGAAGCTTTAAGTTCATCCAAAGAATTCAGCTTCAAATTTGTAAAACAATCCGCAAATCAAGTTTTCTGTAGCATTGCGAGGGAAGTTGTTTCTATGTCTGACTGTAAGGAATGTTTGACCATTCCATCAATCTTTATTGTAAACGTTTCAGCCTATGATTAATGAATTAGCTTCTTTATTTTCCAAAAAAAAAATAATAAATAAATCAATGTTACAAAATATATTATTAAAAATGTCTCATTGAATTTTTTTTTTGAATGATATTCATATTAATACTTTTTGAATCTTAATTAGTCTACCCTTCGATAAGATGAGATTGACGTTGTCACATGGTTCCATTCTACCCTTGATGTTTGAGGATGTGGTTAGTACTTGCTAGGGCCTTGGTTGAGTTGACCTGCAACCACAAGACAGGTTTTGGTTGATACCATAGAGGGTTGGTAGTTGATTCCCAACCAATTTGACTATGTACACCCACCTTTGGTCGAGGCACTTTGATAGTGGGTTGGGTCACACGAAGGTGATGTAGTCCCTTGGCCTATGGTGGAGACCTGGTTGCAAGAGGCAACTCCTAGCCAGCTACACTTGGTGGATGAGGGCTATTAGGATTATTATGACGATTAGGGCTATTAGGCTTATTATGACGATTAGCAAATGATGCAAGACTTGCTACATGGGATGCTTAAGAGGTGTTTCATTTCATTCAGTATTCCCGATTAGAAATTGACAAGATGTCTACCTGTTGACCCTCCAGCCATACCTTGGGAACCAGCGACCACCTTCTTGATTACCTCATAGTGGGTTAAGGATACATCTTTCATGGTTGTTGCTACTGATCACTTTCGCAGTGGCGGGTAAAACAAACTCGTTGGCCACCCAATCCTCAATTCCAAACTACACTCTACTTTCAGTGTATAGGATAGTTAGCGATGCCTTAAAAAAACCCAGGGTGTGTTTGGTTCGCACATGGGAATCGGAATCGGAATGGGATCAAATACTTGGTAATGATAATGAGTTCTGGTGAAAGTATTTTGCATGTTTGGTAGTAGGGTGGAACGTGAATGACTAGGCTAAGGATGAATAATGGGATGAAACCCTTATAGAATAAAGGAATGAGTTTTTCCATTAATGGGGTATTCCAAACCAATAGTAGTATTTTAAAAATCAGTCAATCAAACAATAACAATCACTTTTGTACACATACTCCAGTGCTAAACCTGCCAACCAAACACACCCCTAGTGTTCCCCAAGCTTGATTTTCTACTTGAAGCCTATCCCGATTTATTACTCTTTTTTGTTTTTGTTTTTTTTTTTTTTTGGTATTTTATTCATTCTTTTTCCTTTGTATTTGGATACTACACTTGGACTTTTCTTATACATTCTTGCTTTGTTTATGATATAGCTGTGCTTTTATTTTCTTCCCCGTCTGTGCCTCACATTGTCATAACATTATTTCATAGCTCCTACCTCCTCCATCGTGCAAACTGCAAAGCCTCGAACCCAACTACCTCTCGTTGGACTCCATAGGTCAACTTATTTCCCTTATAAATAAATCGTTACTAATAAAAATTCTTGAGGTAATAGGCACTCCATACCCTATCTATCAACATTCACTACTACAGAATTTACATACAACGTCGGGTCTTTAACGTCGGCTATATACATAGCCGACGTTAAAAACATTAAAATTTTTTTTTTTTTTAATAATTAGGTTTATAACGTCGGCTCTTTGTAGTAGCCGACGTTATAAATATAAAATAATAATATAAAATAAATAAATAACTTACGACGTCGGCTGTATTAATAGCTGACGTCGTAAGTTTTTATTATTTTAAAAAAACAAAAATTATTTATATATAACGTCGGCTAACTATTTAGCCGACGCCGTATTCTTTCGAATTTTTTTTTTTTAATTTTTTTACTTTATAACGTCGGCTAAATGTTTTAGCCGATGTTATAAAGGTTATTAATAGCCTGAGAACGGTCAAATAGACAGATCTGAGAACAGTCGCGATCCCCATCTTCCATCTCTTCCATCTCCTCCGCCATCCCCACCGCATCCATCTTATTCCCATCGCCTCCGCCGCCCCTGCCTCCGCCGCTGCAACTCCCCGACGCCGTCCACCCCGCTGCATCTTGCCGCCGTCTTCCACCCCGCTCCATCGTCCACATCGCCGACGCAATCCTTCCCCGCCGCCGCCGCTTCATGCTCTCCTCCCCGCTGCCGCTTCACGCTCTCCTCCCCGCCGCCGCTTCACACTCTCCTCCCCGCCGCCGCACCGTCTCAGACCGGCCCTTCCTTCCGCCGCCGCCGCCAGCCATCGACGGAGCCATATCCCGGTAAGTTTTATATTTTTTTAATTATTATTAATTATTTTCGAATTTTATTAAATTTATTTGCAATTTAGGGTTTGTTTGTATATATTTGTATGTTTTATTGATTAATTTTGAATTTTAGTCAATTTATTTGCATTTTAGGGTTTATTTGTATATATTTGTAATTATTGTTGATTAATTTTGAATTTTAGTCAATTTATAGAAAATAATATTATAAAACTAGTAACCTTGCTGTATGATATTTACGACTTTGTGGATCCACATGGGCACAGTGAACCTTTTTTTTAAATGCTTTAATTTAGAAGCAAATTTGTTGGTCTCTTCTAGTCAACTTAGCTTTAAGGAATGAAACATGAACAGGCTTTAAATGAAACAGAAAAAGGGGAGTCAGTTGCCATGCCTATTTGTGCATAATAATAGCATTAACTATCATAATAATATTTTGGATTGAGGCACAAACTTAAAAATTAAAATAGCATTAACTATCATAATAATAGCCGACGTTGAATATATATTTTAAAAAATATGTAACGTTTACAACGTCGGCTAATAGCGTTTAGCCGACGTTGTATCATATTTAAAAAATAATTAAAATACTTACAACGTCGGCTAAATGCTAATAGCCGACGTTGTAGGTATTTTATAAAATTTAAAATACCTACAACGTCGGCTAATAGCATTTAGCCGATGTTGTAAGTATTTTAATTATTTTTTAAAATACTAAATGCTATTAGCCGACGTTGTAAACTTTATTTTTTTTTTTAAATAATATATAACATCGGCTATATAAATAGCCGACGTTATAGATAATATTTACAACGTCGCCCAGAACAACTACGGAACATAGCCGACGTTAAAAGCTCTATTTAGCCGACGTTAAAAGCCTGCTGTGTAGTAGTGATTTCTTGCATAGTTTCTAACTTGTTCATCTTTTACTGGACTATTTTCAACACCAGGTAAGGGCTTTCTCAATTTTTGGCCAGTTTTCCCCCCTTCAAGGGGTTTATTGGCTTCCCTTTGCTGTAACACCAGTTCCCTACTTGGAATTAGCTTGGCTGGGCCTACATAGCATGGAGCCTATTCACGGCCCATTAGTATTCATGTATATTCTCCCGGGCTCGCTCTCTTATTTCTTCCAAGAAGTTTAACTCAACCCCATGTCCTCTTCATTCTACTCGGGTTGATATAGTGTTGCTTGATGGGGGGGGGGGGGGTGGGGGGTGGTGGAGGTATCATTACTTCTATGAGAACCCTTGTTTCACAACCATAGGTTAGGCCAAAGAGGGTTTTCTTAGCAAGTTGCCAAGGCGTTGTTCTATAGTCCTAGAAAATGGAAGGTAGTTTCTTGTACTAGACGGATTCTGCGCTTTCGATTATTTTCTTTATTCCGTCAAGGATAATTCGGTTAGTATATATTTTCTACTTGTTCATTCGTTTGAGGGTATGCCACTAACCCTCGGGAATTGGATTTATGTTGAACGTTGGTCGAGTTCAGCCTAACTCAATTCAAGATGTGGCGTTGTGGCTTACCATGGAGGAAAGTGGTTAAATGGTTAATGTCCACCTATTTATTACTAATTGGTTTTTATAAGTAGGATATGTAAACTAGATAGGCAAAGAACTCTGTGGTTAAGCGTGCTTCACTTACTACAATCACAAGATGGGTGACCCACTAGGAAGTAAGCATAGTGCAGCATTGAGATCCATCAATTGGTATTAGAGCCGAGGTCACGGGTTCGAATCGATGGCGAGGCGAAAGCTGAGTCCAG